TAATAAACCATTAGTGATACGTTGAAGGTCTTAAGAAGAGATCCTTCAACCTTGGATTAGTCGGTACATGGATCCTTATTCTCCCTGTGCCGGATACCACGTAAAAATTTTCTGTGTCGCCATTGTTTCAGCCTTTAATTGCTTAATAATCTTGTTGTGTTCTTGTTGAAGTTTGGCTGATACAGGGGAAGGCGAGCAGAAGTAGATTGAGGAAGAAGGAGGCTCCATCTGCATTCTCGTTTTGCCTGGGTCAAGGGCCTAACGAACCGGCCTCACTAAATACTTCGTCTGGGCCGTTTTTCAAAATAAAACAAACAGGCCCATTGTCTATTTCCTGTTTATTTTTTACCAACCATCTAACTTCTGTTATTATCCTTCATTCACCTTGTTCGATTCCACATTCTCTCTAGGGTTCTTATTTACAGAAGAAAAGAACGTGATTCTCCTCCAGGTCTCGCGCTCGACCTCCTCCTATACGTGGTATCAGAGCCCGGCTCCGGCATTAAGTGGTCTAACAGCCCACGGAGAAGATAACTTCGAGTTCAGCAAGTGCAACTGGGATCTACATGGCTTATGGTTTTTCGCAAACCCGGTCACCACGTTTCGAGGGTGTGCACTATGGCTACTAGAGAAATAGAATGGAGTTATTCATCGGTTCCACTGATCCAGACCTATGGAATATTGTGATGGATGGGCCATTGGAAGTCAAGGAAGCTCGAGGAAAATGGACAAAAGAAGACAAGAAGAATTTTCAGCTCAACTCAAAGGCAACAAACCTAATGTACTGTGCATTAGGGCCTGAAGAATACCACAGGGTCACAGGCTGCAAAACAGCGAAAGAGATTTGGGACAAGCTTCAAATCTCTCATGAAGGTACCTCCCACGTCAAGATTTCCAAAATCAACAGCTTTAAACAAGAATTTGAATCCTTCATCATGAAGCCAAAAGAGTCAATCGAGGAAATGAATGATCGATTCACAACTATTGTTAATAGCTTGAGAAATTTGGAAGTTGAATATGCGAGTGGTGATCTGGTCCGCAAAGTTCTTTGGGAACTTCCTAAGCGATGGACTCCAAAGGTAACTGCTATAGAAGAGTCAAAGGATCTCACCAGACTCAGCTTAGATGAGCTGATAGGTTCGTTGATAACTCATGAAGAGAAGCTAAGGAGAGAAGAAGTAGATGAGCTTAAAAAGGAAAAACGGAACATAGCATTTAAAGCCTCATCATATGAAGAAGACTGGGATGGCTTAGAAGACATGGAAGATGACGAGTTAGCATTGCTGAGCAAGCAGGTTGCCAGATTGCTAAAGATGCGTAGAGACAAAAGAAAAGGGAACTCACCTAGCAAGATAGAAGACAGTAGAGATCAAAAGGAAAGAAACCGCTTTGGATACAAAAATAGAAGAGAAGGAAGCAATGAGAGGGCTCAGTTACAATCAAGCTGCTACAAATGTGGAAAAACAGGACACATAAAAGTTGATTGCCCACTGACGAAAAAGGCCTATGTTGCAACTTGGAGTTGCAGTGAAGAAGATGAAGAAGAAGTATGCAGGCAAGTGGCATACATGGCCATTGGTGAAGAATCAGAGGATGATGACATCAATCAGGTAAAATCCTACTACTCGGATTCTTTTTGTGAAGATGATCAAATGTTAGATACAATACGAGATATTCAACAGGAGTTTGCTAACGTAAAACAAAACACATCAAAATTAAAGTTGAATTTGAAACTCTCCTGTCTAACTATGAAACCCTCAAAACAGAAAAACCAAAGCTTGAAAGTGCCTTAAGAAATGCTTTAGATGAGAATGAAGCTCTTGGGACTAAACTTGCTGCTTCTGAAGACAGGGTAAAAATCTTAGAAAGAAACAGATTGGGAGTCAGAAATTCAAACTTCACTAATAAGCTTGGTAATAGAAAGACAATTGAGTGTTATTACTGTCAAAAGCTAGGGCATCACATAAGTAACTGCAGAAAACTGATTGTTGAAGAGGTCAAGGCCAAGAATGCCTCAAACTTCTCTCATAAACACAAAGAATGTATACATAAAAACTATCAGTCTTTGAGGGAATTCAAGTTAGTCTGGAGGCCTAAAAATAAGTAATCCATTTCTTTTGCAGACCTGTCTCCAAGTGAGCATGGAAGGCAGTGTTTGGATTCTTGACAGTGGCTGCTCACATCATATGACTAGGGATAAAAATTTATTCACTGACCTCACCCTAAGAAAGAAAGGTAAAGTCTTTTTTGGTGATAACTATAGTACAGAAATTCTAGGTAAAGGAACCATAGGTAACTCACCCTCTATAAGTAATGTTATGCTCGTAAAAGACTTAAAACACAACTTACTATCTATAAGTCAACTGTGTAAGAATGAAAACCGAGTCATTTTTGAACCAAACGGTTGTACAGTTGAAAACATTCTAACTAAGAAGATTATGTTTACTGGAAAGCGCAGAGGGAAATTGTTCATCATTGATTTAAATGACAAAAAGACTTTCAATGAATCTTGTTTCATAACAGTTGACAAAGATGATCAACTCGAATGGCATCGTAGGCTGGGACATATAAGTGTAGGAATTATGTCTAAACTGGTTAATCTAGAACTAGTCAGAGGTGTTCCTAAGATTCACAGTAAAAAGGAGTTTTTCTGTGAGGCTTGTACAAAAGGAAAACATACTCGATCCACCTTCAAAACTAAACAAATTCTTTCTACTAACAGAACTCTTGAACTTCTACATCTGGATCTCTTTGGTCCAAGTAACGTTATGAGTTTAGGAGGGAAATATTATGCTTGTGTCATTGTTGATGACAATTCTAGGTTCACTTGGGTTCTGCTTCTTTCAAGCAAAGATGAAGCTCTTCTAAAATTCAAAATCTTTGTAAAACAAGTCGAAAATGAAAAACAGTCTAAGATAATAAATATTCGAAGTGATCATGGTGGTGAATTCGAATCAGAAAAATTTGAAGACTTCTGTAGTTCACATGGAATTCTTCACAACTTTTCAGCCCCCAGAACACCTCAGCAAAATGGTGTAGTTGAGAGAAAGAATAGAACCCTTATTGAAATTGGAAGAACCATGCTTAATGACTATGGAGTTTCAAAGAAATTATGGGCTGAAGCTATCAATACAGCATGCTATGTGATTAACAGGGCTCTAATTCGGTCAAACCTTAACAAGACTCCTTATGAGCTTTGGAAAAATAAAAAACCAAATCTGGGATATTTTCATCCTTTTGGATGCAAGTGCTATATCCTAAATACTAAAGATGTGCTAGGAAAATTTGATTCCAAGTCAGATGAATCAATTTTCCTTGGTTACTCTACAAACAGTAGAGCTTATAGGGCATTTAATAAGAGGACTCTCAAGGTAGAAGAGTCCATTAATGTTATATTTGATGAGTCTGTGAGTAAGAATGCATAGATAATAGAAGATGATGATGATTTTGGACTCGGTAGCAATCAAGTCAAAGACTCTGGAGTTATAAGTACAGAGACACAGCCAATTGCTGAGATTACAGTATTGGACAGACCAGAAGCACCATCACATATTCAAAAGAGGCATCCTACCTCTCAAATCATTGGCGACTTAAATCAAGGTATGGTAACTCGTTCCAAGGTCTATCCAGAACATACTGCTTTTATCTCTCGAATTCTTCCTAAAAATATAGATGAAGCACTAGAAGATGAGGTTTGGACAGCAGCTATGCATGATGAAATGAATCAGTTTGAAAGAACCAGCGTTTGGGATCTAGTTCCCAAACCTGAAAAAAGAACTATAATAGGAACTAAATGGGTGTATAAAAACAAGACTGATGAAGCTGATATTATAATGAAAAATAAAGCTCGTTTAGTAGCTCAATGTTACAATCAAGAAGAAGTGATAGATTTTGATGAAACCTTTGCACCATTTGCTAGATTAGAAGCTATAAGGCTTCTCTGTGCTTTTGCAACATCAAAAGGTTTTTAACTATTCCAAATGGATGTCAAAAGTGCCTTTTTAAATAGTGATCTAAAAGAGGAAGTGTATGTGTCTCAACCCCCTGGTTTTGAAAGCTCAGAACATCCAGACTATGTTTACAAACTCAATAAAGCTTTAGATGGTCTGAAACAGGCTCCTAGAGCCCGGTATGATAAATTGAGTCAATTTCTGTTAGATGATGGTTTTCACTGAGGGAAGGTTGACAAAACTTTGTTTATTAAAAACTCAGGTGGTCATACTCTGTTAGTATAAGTTTATGTAGATGATATCATCTTTGGGTCTACATGTCCGAAACTATGTTGTGCCATTGAAAACAGTATGAAGGGTGCGTTTGAAATGAGTCTTATGGGTGAACTTAACTTCTTTCTTGGATTGCAAGTTAAACAAACCACTTCAGGAACCTTCATAAACCAAAGTAAATATCTTCATAACATGCTCAAACGTTTTAATTATGAGAATCTCAAATCAGCTTCTACTCCTATGGGCTCCTCTACCAAACTCTCTAAGGATGAAACTGGCATTAACATAGATCATAAGCTATATAGAGGAATGATAGGTTCACTCTTATACTTAACAGTAAGCCGCCCGGACATAATGTATAGTGTGTGTGTTTGTGCTCGCTTTCAAAGCCAGCCCAAAAATAGTCACTTGTCTGCTGTTAAAAGGATCTTTCATTATTTGGCTGGCACCCCTGACTTATGTCTGTGGTATTCCAGACACTCTAGCTTAGATCTCAATAGTTACACAGATTCAAACTATGCAGGTTGTATAGTTGATCACAAAAGCACCTCTGGTGCGTGTCATTTCCTTGGATCCTCTCTCATCTCTTGGTTCAGCAAGAAACAGAACTCTGTAGCGCTCTCTACCGCTGAGGCAGAGTATGTTGCTGCTAGTTTTTGCTGCACTCAAGTACTTTGGCTAAAGTATCAACTACTTGACTATGGAATCCCCTTAGGATCACGACCTATTTTCTGTGACAATACTAGTGCTATAAACATGTCAAAAAAACCTATCCAACATTCTCGGAATAAACACATTGAAGTCCGGTATCATTTAATTTGAGATTTAGTCCAAGATGGTAAGATACATCTTGATTTTATTAGGACAGAATGTAAATGGGCCATATTTTAACTAAACCCTTGCCAGTTGATCAGTTTCTACATATCAGTCGTGAATTAGGGCTTTTCTCTCTTCATGATCTGGCTGATCATTAGTAGTACCTTTTCTTGCCTCATCTGATCTCTAATTGATTCTTCTTCCCTTTTCCTGATCTGCTAATGGATACTAATCCTTCTGGCAATTTACCATGTCTTTCCTCTTCACTCCTATAAGTTCCTTAGGATTCTCATCTTTCCAGTCACTCACCCTTCCTCTTCGAAATACTCTTTTCCAAGTATTCACTTAATCATGGTGCTCAACAATGCTCAACTCCATCATGCTGTTACCTTCTCCAACAAGGTATTCCGCAAAGATAAGGAATACTCTAGGTATGTGCGTCGCTTCCGCGATCGTGCTATCTATCCATCCTTCACTGTCCAACCCTATGCCTTTTCACGGTATGACATGGATATTCCTACCTTGATTCGCAATCTTGGTTGGGAGTCCTTGTTCGAAGATCAGCGTTTTACATATTGTCTGGAGGCTATGAGATTGTTCTATGTCAATCTCAAACGTGGGTCAGGACCAGATCTTTATTCTTTCAAAACTGCTGTTGGCAACTTTGAGATCACGGTCACTGCAGATCTGCTTGCCAGTGAACTAGGGCTGCCACATGATGGACTCAGGGCAGGTGATGATGGCCAGTTTTGTGACTATGATTTCGATTATTGTCATGTCCTGGACGATCTTGTTCATGATATTGGTCGCTATTTCCCCAATCTGCACTCTGCTGGTCGTCTACCTGATGATCTGCGCGTTCTGCACTTCTTCATCACTAGGATTCTTCTTCTTAGATCTCTCTCGAGTGCCACTCTGCTTCACACCTCCAATCTCTGGATCCTTCATCATGCCAGGTCAGGACAGCGTATCAGTTATGCGTTGCTAGTCTTCTGCCATCTGGTCCAATATGGAGATGACAACAATGATGGATGGTTGCCCCTGGCACCTCTTATCACTCAGCTGCTACGAAAATTGGGCATCGACCTTCGCGATAAGGTCACTCTCTGCAATGTTCATGATGATCTGAAGGCTCAACATGTCCTCGCTCATTTGGATGCCAGTGTTGGTCCCCGAAAGCCTGTCATTGGCTTAGGGGGGAAAGCTGCTACCTTGATCAAAGCTTTAGTGTCTGCTGCAGAGGTCGTGATCGATCGAGAACTCACTGGTTTCTCCAATGAGCTGAAAGGGAAGCGCAAGATACCTTTGGCTTCTCTATCCACCCGGTTGAAACTACTCAATGATGGAGGGGGTGCAAGCACTTCAAGAATCAGAGAGGAGGATGAAGTTGTCGAAGAGCCTGAAGACAATGCTGACATTTCTGACTATGACTCTCCTCCTCACTATCCTTTCTAGAAGGATAATTTAGCCTACTTAGGATCCTGTCTAGAATCTAGGTCTATGTTATCTAGAGCAAAAAGCAGCCGTAGCTGCCCCCTTATTGTCCTTCAATTTTCTTAATGAATAAAGTGGCATATTGAATGGAATTGAATCATGTTTGTAGAACAGGCTACACCGACTTGTTTGCTAAGTGTGTGCAGGTATAAAACTAGAAAGCAGCAGTTAAAGAGCCATTGACAAGCTTAGGGGGAGCATGTTGAGGGAAGCTCGTAAATGGCTCTGCTCAAGCAATTCAACGGACCAAAGAATTGATTTGGAAAGTTTGCTAATGCCTCTGCTCAAGTAATTCAAAGGGACAAAGGATTGATTTGAAAAGAAATCAAATCAGCCTATCTTGCATTTTCTATTCACGGGCCAGAAATGGTAATATCATCAAAGAGACGTTGGGAAGAAAGAGTATAAGAAGATACAGAGTATGGAGTCAATCGGTACCTTTTTCAAGCAAACAAGAAGGAAAGAGCAGAGAATTTGCTAGTGGTCTTGTTGAGAAAAAGAGAGTAGATCTGAGTGATTGCTTAGCTAACTAGTTGTACTGTGTCACAGTTTTGAGTGAGGTTACAGTCTGGTTAGGGTGATTTACCAGCATAGGCTGAGAGTTCTTGGTTGAAGTTGTAACAGGGAACTTGGAAGTAACAAACCATTAGTGATACGTTGAAGGTCTCAAGAAGAGATCCTTCAACCATGAATTAGTCGGTACAGGGATCCTTATCCTCCCTGTGTCGGATACCACGTAAAAATTGTCTGTGTTGCCATTGTTTCAGTCTTTAATTACCTAATAATCTTGTTGTGTTCTTGTTGAAGTTTGGCTGATACAGGGGAAGGCGAGCAGAAGCAGAGTGAGGAAGAAGGAGGCTCCATCTCCATTCTCGTTTTGCCTGGGTCAAGGGCCTAACGAACAGGCCTCACTAAATACTTCGTCTGAGCCATTTTTCAAAATAAAACAAACAGGCCCATTGTCTATTTCCTGTTTATTTTCGATCAACCATCTAACTTCTGTTATTATCCTTCATTCACCTTGTTCGATTCCAAATTCTCTCTAGGGTTCTTATTTACAGAAGAAAAGAACGTGATTTTCCTCCAGGTCTCTCGCTCGACCTCCTCCTACAGAATGCTTTGTTCCTAAATTCGGGTTTATCTTAGAATTTATAGGGGGAACTATCCTTTCGGCCAAAAGATACTCCATAGATTAACGTATAGTAAGACACAAACCATTCCACATGAAGAATGGAAAATTCGAAGACTTTACTTGAGTTATTTCAAAGTGCAAGTCTGTTTGATGAAAGTTCGAATTTCAAAACCAAACCATATCAAAACCAAAGTTCGCATTTGTTGCAATGACGTCATATAATTTTTGAAAAATGAGTGTGCTTACATAAAAAAATCACTCATAATTACGAAATCATTGTTTGCCTATATGTAGATGACATGTTGATAACAAGTAAAACAGTATTGACATAGAAGATACAAAATGAACACTTTTAAGATCATTCGACATGAAATACTTGTGTGAGGTTGATTTTATTCTAAGAATAAAAATACATCGAACGCCTTAAGGTTTAGCATTGTCATAGTATTAATTAACGAGAAAATACTTGATAAATTCAAATATCTACATTTTAAATAAGAGCAAATGTTGATTGACCTACACCTTGGTAAAAATAAAAGCGACTCTCAAGAGGATTAGAGTATTGAGATGTCTAATGTTCATCATTAATTGCACCCAACCATACATTTTTTGTGCCAATAAGCAAACTAAGCCGATAATATAATAATCCAAATATGACATATTGGATGGCAAGGAGACGTGCTATAGTTTGAATTTACAAGATGCCAAAGATTTTGCTACGCATAATAAAATTTATCCAGAGGTGCTCGAAGAATATAGTGATTCAAACTCGATCACTAACTCAACCGACAACAACTCCACTAGTGGATATTTGTTTACGGTTGGTGGGAACAAAATCTTGTAGGCTTCCAAGCAAACTTGTATTGCCCGTTCAACAATGAAATCCGAGTTCATAGTTTTCGACTTAGTCAATGAAGAAGTCAAATGACTTCGAAACTTCTTGCAAGGAGCTATAAGTGTTACGATAATGGTAAGTCACGTCACATATGTTGATGACATTATACAAAAAGCAATTACTCTCTAGTGGAGATATTTTGGTTGATACATAAGATGAAGAAAAATGTGCCGGATCGGCTTAAAAAGGACTAGAAAGTTAGTTGACAAGTCATAAAGGGGAATGAGTCTAAGGCCTACAATAAATCATTATTAGCTAATGGTGGGTTAGTTTTCACCATTTATGAGTCAATAAGCTATACAAATTGAGCCCAAAAAACTTGAGCAAAAGTTCCAAATTCTGCAAATATGTTACTATTATTTGTGGTTCTTAGTTTGTAACAAATATCTCCACCACTATTTGTGGCACATTTTGTGGGGAAAATTCTGTTTGCCTAGACATAGGTTCTTGACATGGCTTATTATCCTAAATCGAATAACTACAAGGAAGTTGCATGATTGTGGCAATATAATTTCTAATGAACGTGCTCTTTGTGGTGTGGAAAGGGAGACAAGAAAACATATGTTTTTCAACTGTCAAATTGTCACTATTGTTGTTTTGGTGTGTTCAGTCGTGTTTTTAGGTGTGGCCATCAAATTGGGAGGGTGTTGTAGATGTTATCAGTGCTTTAGCTATCACTAGGGTGGAAATCGGTATGGTATCGGTATCCCAATACCAAATACCGAAATCCCGAATACTGAATTATCCTCTAAAGTCAATCTCAATCCCTAAATAATTTTGGTATCCCAATCCCTAAATATTTCGGTATCCCAATCGGTACTTCGGTATCCCAATCGGTATTATCGAATACAAAATTAATTACCTTTGCAGTTAATAATTAAATTTATAAATTAGATTTTATTGTTTAATTTAGGGGGAAAAACTAAGCAAAGAGTCTTGAATTAGGATATTATTAAGGAGAATGGAGGAGAGGAGACATATCAAGTTCTTGTCATTGGTAATCGTCAATTTGACGAATTGGAGGTTGAGAGACGACTATTAATAGTGATGAAATGATCTATGTATAATTAAATTACACTCTTGGTGGTTGAGGGTCGTGTAGTAGTGAATGAGAGAGTCTAGTTGAGAGGATAAAATACACACTAGCTTATATTTCGATATTGATCGGTATTTCGGTATATACCAATCCCAATCCCGTAATCCCTAATACCGAATAACAATTGAAATTCAATCTCAATCCCAATCCCAAGTAATAATACATGTATTCGGTAATACCAAATATAGACAAATTCGGTACGGTATTCGGTATATCCCAAATACCTGTACCAAACTTCCAGCCCTAGCTACCATAGGTGTCCCAAAATGTCAAATTGGAGGTGCTCTATAGTGCTGGGCTATCAATCCACAATATACATAAAGGCAAAACATGGGTTGGAATTCTCCCATTTTAAATTTCGTGGCCTGAGAGTGATTCTAGGAAGGTCATTTTTGTCATTATAGCCAGTTCATGTTTATATATTAAAATCGTTATAATTGGAGTTCGAACCTTGGTCACTTAAATGACGAAACAACATTATAACCAACTAGACTACATTTTATTTATTGTTGTTTCTTTGATTAAACTCTAGGAATATGTTTGGTGATGATGCTTCTACATTTATATTTTATCTTAAGTTATTTATATTTCTACATAATATATAAAGGCAAAACATGGGTTGAATTTCCAGGGATTTGAATTCCCAGGCATGTGAGGGTTTCACAAAAGGGTAATTTGGACAATTTACCTATCATTTTAGGTCATTCATCTTTGGCTATCAATCCGCAACGTGCCCTTTCAAATCATTCAATTTCATATCTATAACCTGTGTCGTCATCAACAAATATGATAAATATTGAAAAAAAAATTCATTGATATGTTGGACTATATCACGGATCAATTATAATGCTTTATTTGTAAGCATGTATATCGCTATCAGTTCCATATCTTTGATATTTACACACATTATAAGTAGTAACAACACATACAAAGATGCATAATAATCTTCACTATTTACACACATTATAACTGGTTACAACACATACAACATACATAATAATCAAACTCTCCAGCCAACAGGCGGGGCATGGTGCTCGGGATTCTCAGATTGGTGAGGATGAAGAGATATGATAAGAAGGAATCACTGGAGAACCCGGGGAAGATGAAATGGAATTTTTGAGAATCTGAGATAGGATTAGAAACTAGAAGGAAGTCGATCGATTGTTGGTGAAGGACGGATACAGGCTTCGGCTTTGGTTCCACTTCCCTGCCATTCAATCTGGTGGCCCAGTATTCGCCCATTCTTTTGTAGGCTGGAAATCAATCAGACTGTTGGATTAATGACCAAGTATTTATTTCCCTTTTTTTACGTTAATCTCATATAACATTTTTTCAACACATTTTTTACGTTCATCTCATATAATATTATTATTATTGTTTGTAAAATTACAAATCGATTCTTTTAATTCATCTTCATAATCAACATTAAGTTGCTCTATCCGCATAGATAGTTTAATTTCAGTTTCTCCCATAAACACTTCCATACAACAATTTTTAGATAAAACTTTCACAGGTATTAATAACACATTTTTTGGCCTAAACTTTTGTACAAACACGATTTTATTACAAAAGTTACCAAAACAATGAACTATTATCAATTAGGTTTATATTTCAATTTTTATCAAATAATACGATTGTGCGTAGATTACCCGCCCAACAAAACGGGCCCGGTGCTAGTATGTTGTGAAGAGAATGTTACAAGCGAGTTTTGGGCTCCCTTCATAGTAGTTGGCAAGCAATGCTGAGTCAAATGAAGGAGGAAGTGCGTCTTGTAGAGTTTGGGAATTATGATTTTGCAAAAGATTTGTATAGTTCACCTTTCTTTTGAGTTTTCTTGTTGATGTATTCACTAAAGGTGCAAGATTTGCTCTTGGTGCCTGGTATTGTTTTCCGGGCTAAGTCTGTTTTGGCTGAGGCTGCTTAATAAGATCAATAATGGAAAAAAGGTTATAAATCTAAAGATCTATTAAGTTTAGGTACATAACTGTAATTTGTATAGTTGAGGCTCAATTTCTTTTATGGTGATGTATTTAAGATGATAAGTATGTACATTTTTATAGAAAAATAAAAACTATTTATTTGATCCAAACTTTCCATGTATAACTGTTGAAAATTCTAGACCGGGCGGAAAAAAACTCTAGAGAGAAACAAAAAGGATAGAAACTGGAACTCGCTTAAAATTTCACATTCTCAAATCCCATGGTGAAAATTCTGACTTTCTAATAAGTAATAACCATATATATTTGTTTTTAATTGGACTTGACATTTGATGTTGGTGAGTCGTGTATGAACCTGTTCATACTTGTGAACAGAATACATAAAAACAGTATACTAATTAGGGTTAGACAAAGAAAGCAAATAAATAAAGAAAGGGTTATGGAAGCCGAGTGAAAAATGAAACGAAGAGGAAGTAGATGATAGAAAGATTTTGACCAATTCTTTTAGTTGGCCGTCAATACAACATTCAACCCTTTTCTCCGTAGCAATTTATTGACACTTACTTATGTAGTTAGTAGAAGTTTGTTTAGTACCCCGTAAATGAACTAAATGAGTTTAAAAATTCATTCTTGCAATATTTTAGAGTCGTCTCTCTTTTATCATTCATTTAATATTTCACTCTTTTATCATTTATTTAATATTTCACGTAATGAGTTAGTATAAAATGGTCAAATCTTCTCCAATAGTTGAGTGATACATCTTGTATTGTACAAACTAAATTTATACTTTTATGTTATGGTGGATTGGATTCATGGATTGGTTCAAAAGGATTGGTGGATTGGATTCAAGTGAAATCTAAACCAATATGTAAATTTAAAAAATTGTAGGTGCGAAAATTTCTAAAATGTAGATACTAAAACATAATTGTTCAATAATTTTATATTTAAATTAAATTTGGGATATCAAAATGTAAAATGTACATTATAGTGATTTAATTAAATCTGAAGTATCAAAATGTAAATTGTTATGCAACAGTAACCAAACTTCAACTTTATATATGGATTATTTTGATTTATAGATTGGTGATGTAAAAATCTGTCTTGGATTTAGATATTTATATGTCCGAAGTACCCCCCTCCAAAGATTTGAGGGTCATCCTGTTGTCCTGGGAACCAACGAGTCTCCCACCAGCCTGAGATACTTGCTTCGGATAACCCGAGCCCAGAGACTATCCGATTCTTTCATTAAACGCCAAGCAATTTTCATCATAAAAGCCTCATTCAGTGTCGTCGCATCCCGCATTCCAAGGCCTCCCTCTTCTTTCGGACGGCATAGCGTACTCCAGTCCAACAGGTGTATCTTCCTCCCTGCTTCAGAGCTCCCCCATACAAACCCTCGAATCTTCTTGTCTATATACTCTCGAACACTTGCTGGAAGGAAAGTGGTATGCATGGTGTAAGCTGGAAGCGATGCGAGCACAGATTGTGCCAAGGTGATGCGACCCGCCAAAGATAAAGTCGCTACGCCCCAGCCTGCCAACCGGGCATCGATTCTATCAAGCAGCTCCATGAACGTTGTTCTCGAAACTCGGTCGTGGATTACCGGAACCTTGGAGTCTGAGGGAACAGAGCCTACATCCAAGCTTTCCTCCCGAACAACCTAGTTGAGCAGATACTACTGCATGATATTCCCCGAGGCACAGCGAGTGATGTGCCGACTTGGTGCTATACAACAAATGGGGAATTCTCCCTAAAGTCTGCGTACGAGCTCCTGAATGAGGCGAGCAACCCTACCCATACCCACCCGATCTGGAAGAAGATATGGAGAATTCCGGCTATGCAGCGAGTAAGGTCTTTCTTCTGGCTGGTCGATCACGGTCACCTCTTGACGAATATGGAGAGACAAAGGCGTCGCTTGACGGCGGTGAGTAGTTGCCCGGTTTGTGGAGGAGAAGACGAGTTTGTGAATCACGTCCTGCGGGATTGCCCATATGCGAGGAAAGTCTGGTCCACGTTCCTCGAAAATGAGGAGGATGAGAAGTTTTTCTCCCCAGACAAGACAAACTTGATGATGCATTATTTATCGGGGGAGAAGTGTTAACTTAGATCCATCGTTGTTCGCGGTGGTGTGTTGGTTGCTTTGGAAGAATAGAAACACTTATGTGTTTAAGAAGAAGATAGCTACAGCAAGCCAAATTCAAGTGGTAGCTCGGAGATTACGACATCAGATTGGAGAGGCTGTGAAGAGAGACCCTGTGATCCGAGGGGAACATATGCCAGGTGAATGGAGGTCGATTGGCTGGGAGCTTCCCTCGGCCTGGTGGAGCTGTATCAACACGGATGGATTGGCAGCGCTAGCTACTCAGAATGCGACGGCTAGGGCGTAGTGCGAGATGAGCAAGGGAGATTTCTGGGTGCTTTTGCGATGAATCTTGACGAAGGCACGATTACTCGTGCCAAGCTTATGGGCATACTTCAGGGATTGCAGAGGGCTTGGGATCTTGGAGTAAGGAGGACAATCCTCCGGACAGACTCCAGAAGCGCAATCGAGCTTATCGAGTCGGCTACTTCCTCCAGCACGCACTATCAGTTGGTATCGCAGGTGCGGCGTTTGTTGAACCAAGAGTGGGAAGTTCGCGTGGAGCACACATACAGGGAGGGAAATATGGTGACGGACTACTTGGCGTTGATAGGATACAATCTTCCGTGGGGTTGCACCCGGTATCGATTCCTAGCCCGATGCTGCAACACTGCCTGTTGTTCGATCTTGTAGGGAGTGTAACTCCCAGATTTATTTTCCAGTAAGTGGAGGGCATTTGTGCCATGGATCCTGAAAAAAAAAAGATATATACATACATATATACATATATATGTTGGCTTCTATGGTACCCCGGGTGAAATCCGGGGTACCGCATACCTCGAGTATGGAAACTCTATCTAGACCTCGAATTACCAGGATTTTTGTGTCTGATATTATACCCTAACCCTTAATGAGTGAACCCTATGTCATAATTATCTAAATCATAATCTATAAACCCTAAGATGGTGCATTCCTTTTTGTGCCTATATTTGGATAAATCATAACCGTCGATTATTATTTCTAATTAAATTGATCTTGGAGTATAAGATTGGGAGAGTTAACACCTAGATTTTGATCTTTAAGTGTTAGAGTATAGTATCATGTCCGAAAGATCGGTCAATTCAAGGTCTAAATAGTGTTTTCATACTCAAGGTATGCGGTACCCCGGATTTCACCCAGGGTACCATAGAACTCGCCACATATATATATGTATATATATATACATATATGTATATATATATATATACATATACATATGTATATATCACTTGTAGAAAAAAAATATGAGTTATCATTTCCAAAAATTCATGATTTTCAAGTGAAATAAAGATATATATATATATACATATATATATTATTTACATATTTGTTGACTTTTCAACTGAAAATACAAAAAAAGATAATAACCATGTGGGAAGAGGACTCGAACAGTTGACATGCCTTGCATCATAGTAATACAAGGTAGTTGCTATGTTTAATCAAAGCATTGAAACACAATTAAACAATAATTTCAACATAAAATATTCATAACTAATTTTTCCAATACAATTTTTTATACCATTTTTCGATTTGTAAGTTTAACCCGCCTTATCATCATTCCTGGCTAGTTCATCACCACACATAGTAAAATACGGTACGAGAAAGTCACGTAAAAAATATGTACGGGTATTATACTTCGTCTCTAAACTAAAGTTACGTTTAATAGTACGTTAATAATCATAAATATATAAAATTAATCATTTTAAAAATAAATAAATATATAAATAATAGTAAAGTTAACAATTTAATTCGTAAAATACGGATAATAAACGTGTTATACGGGTTTTATACGTGTTTAGTACGGAAGCTATCAAATGAACGAGAAAAAATGAAACGACTTGACAATAATACGAATACGAAAAATTTAAAAAAATCAAATACGTACGACTATATATATTATATATATTAAACGGACTAACCACAATTTCCTTTGCAATTTCGCGGCTGTTGCCCCTCGTCATTCACCTCTCCAGATGGTTTTGCCGTAACTGGCCCTGAATCTATAAACAACCCATTAGCAGCCTGGAAGGTTCCAAAGCCCAAACCAACAACAGAGAGAAAAAAAAGGCCGGCGTGGAGTTTACGCTTATACCCTTTCACTTCCATTAGGGCAATTCTTGCTGCCTACTCCATATTCGTACTCAGCTGTCCATTCGGATTTCCTCTCAGCTGCTTTGCTTTTGTCACGCCCCCACCCGACCCTTCTTCTCCCCCACGCACTCCCTTCTTCACCCCTCTCCCTCGCTCTCGCGCGCCTTCCGATCGCCTAGGGTTTCTGCACAATCGTGTGTGTGTGTTCTCAGTTGTTGACATAGCGTCAGATGTCGAAAGCTAGTTCCAAAGCCACCGCGGGAACGCTGGCCGCCGGCGGGAAGACCGGCGTCCGGATTGTCGTCGCTGGCGACCGCGGCACAGGGAAGTCCAGCTTGATAATCACTGCCGCAATCGATAATTTCCCGGCTACTTGCCCTCCTGTTCTGCCTCCCACCAGGCTCGCCGAGGATTTCTACCCCGACCGGGTTCCCGTCACCATCATTGATACCTCCTCCAAGTACGGGGTTTCTGCTTCTCTTTGTCTTCTCCCGCGGTGATTGAGCTTTGTGCCATTACTGTTTCGATTGGTTCGCAGACATTGAACTGCGTGGAACTGGAGAGTTTTCATTTATGGGGGGGTTAAAAGGGGCGGAATTTGGAATTTGAATCGTTTCTCTTGGATTTTTAGCGGTGGAGTTTATGCTTAGTGAACTGCCTTGCTTGATTGTTGTTCAGGTTGGAGGATACTGGGAAAGTTGCTGAGGAACTGAAGCGAGCTGATGCGGTTGTCCTAACTTATGCGTGTGATAAGCCGGAGACTCTTGACCGGTTGAGTACCTTCTGGTTGCCTAAGCTGCGACAGTTGGAGGTTCGGCTTCATTCTTTATCGTTATGTTTTGCTTTGAACTTTTTCTGAGTTAAGTGGGGATACTTGTATTGTCTCTGCATCCTCTAATGTATGCTTCAACGTCATGAGCAGGTGAAGGTTCCGGTTATTGTAGTTGGTTGTAAACTGGATTTGAGGGATGAGAACCAGCAAGTGAGCTTGGAGCAAGTGATGTCACCAATAATGCAACAGTTTCGAGAGATTGAAACCTGCATTGAGTGTTCGTCATTCAAGCGCATTCAGGTAAAAGCCTTGATGCATTGTCTAATGCTCTACTAATGCATGAATAGGATATCTTGTTTCTCAATGTGTAGTCTCCTATTTAGTGCCCCCCTTGTCCCGGGGTTGTGGGGTAGCTTTTCAGTTTACCTTGTATCTTATCTTTGACCATCTATCTTATCCTGCTTGTGCTCTAACATTACAGTGAGACTCCGTTCAAGTTGATGGAGTTGAGATAGCGAGTCTTTAAGATTCTTGAATGGGCTAACTCATTGTGGAGGGTTTTTCATTTCTTATTTTGCAGATCCCCGAGGTGTTTTATTATGCACAAAAAGCAGTACTTCATCCTACTGGTCCTTTATTCGATCAGGAAACACAAACACTAAAGCCAAGGTGTGTCAGAGCCTTGAAGCGGATATTTATTCTTTGTGATCACGACAGAGATGGTGCCCTTAGTGATGCAGAGTTAAACGACTTTCAGGTTTGGTTTTCCATTCCTTTTGGCCTGGCCTCATTTGGATTTAATTTTGAGGAACTGCTAAGATGGGAGCTGATGTATAAGATTTGCACTGAATTGAAAGAACTGGCAATATTTGTAGCCCTGTCAATGCCTTGAGATTGAGTGTCATTCATTTTGATGAACCAAGATTGTTAGGTCCATCTTATATGCACTTACACTTGAATTTTGTGAAGGATCTAATAGTAGTCTTGCTGCTCAGGTCAAATGTTTCAACGCTCCGTTGCAACCTTCAGAAATTGTGGGCGTGAAGAGGGTTGTTGAAGAAAAGTTGCCTGGTGGTGGAGCTACTGATGGAGGAGTTAATGAACGCGGTTTGACGTTGACTGGTTTTCTTTTTCTCCATGCCCTGTTCATAGAAAAAGGACGACTTGAGACAACTTGGACTGTTCTCAGGAAATTTGGTTACAATAACGATATCAGACTCGATGATGAATTAATCCCATCATTTAAACGTGCTCCTGATCAGGTAATATTATGTTCAAGTCTCATGCTATTTAGAACTAACCTAGAGTACCGTAGGGATACATTCTCAAAGATCAATGAGTAGGTCTAGGAGTGCCATTAGAAGTTCGGAGTTGAGAGTTAGGCAGTTTTTCCCTTAAATTGAATGATCAGCTTACTATAAATGTTTGCTTATGTTCAAGATTCAGCATAAAATTATTGTTATCTCCTGAAGGACAAATTCTTGACTCTTGAGGTGTAACTGGTGTCTGGTAACCTTTGGATGCATAATCTTGTCACACTTTGAACTATTGTCAAATGCGATACCCATGATGGTTATAGTTAAGCATTGGCTGATTTTATATTTTTGGCATTGGTATCTTGTTATTCACTGTAGCTGTTGTTTCTGCAGAGCGTCGAGCTTTCAAGTCAACCTCTCGAATTCTTAAGGGGGATCTACGAGTTATTTGACAGCGATTATGTATGTTTTAGTTTGTTTGTATTTTCAATTGCACATGTCATTATGATCCACTGTACAGTGTCCAATGGCATGTCTAGAAATCCTTACTTTGTGCATGTCATTGTGGCAGGATAACAACCTTCGGCCTGATGAGCTGGATGATATTTTTTCGACTGCACCCGATAGGTATCCTAATATCTTGATATGTAGCTGGGTACCACAAGCCACTGATTTGATTTGTTATTATCATCCGAGCTGCTGTGACTTTTAGCTCAAGAGGATATTCCATATTTTCAACGCTTTGTACTTTGTTTTTGATGATTTATTATTTGTGTTGCAGCCCCTGGGATGAGCCTCCATACAAGGATGCTGCAGAGAGAACTTCACTGGGTGGCCTCTCAGTTAATGCATTCTTATCTGAGGTATGATTTTGCTGATGTTACCTTCATTATTGAGTCCACAGTGGAAGCCACCAATGAAACAAGCAAATAACTAATGACCACATAATCATGCTTTTGCTTCTTTGTGCACTCCAGTGGGCCCTGATGATACTTCTAGAGCCATCTCGTGCTGTGGAGTACTTGATTTACATTGGATATCTAGGAGATCCTTCTACCGCTGTTCATGTAACAAGGAAAAGGCGTTTGGACCGCAAGAAGCAACAATCAGAAAGAAATGTTTTCCAGTGCTTTGTCTTTGGACCAAAGAAAGCTGGAAAGACTTCATTGTTGAATTCTTTTATTGGAAGGTATTTCATTATGTGACCATAATAAGCATCTTCAGCAAACACTCATTTTTATCGTTGTGATAATTGAATGATTGTAAATGCAGGCCCTGTCCTGATGGTCATGCTTCAACAACTGAAGAGAAGTTTGCAGCGAATGTCGTTGATCTTCCTGGTGTAAGTGCTATCCCGTTATTTTTTCGTTCAGGCTTAAAGGTCAAATAGATCTATTTTTGTCATTACTAGCCTTGCTGTTCAATGATTCCCTGAAATACCTTAATTGTTTGTGTACAGGGTAGCAAGAAAACCCTTGTATTGAGAGAGATTCCTGAAAAGGAAGTTAAGGGCTTGCTTTCAAGTAAAGAATCTCTAGCTTCATGCGACATTGCAGTGTTTGTTTATGATAGGTATGCTGTACTCTGGAAGTGATGAATGGAGTTGAGGTCATTGTTACTTTTAGTATTCAGGTTTTCTGATCAGTAGCTTTGTTGCAGTTCTGATGAGTCCTCATGGAAGAGAGCGACTGAATTGCTTCTGGATGTTGCTGGTCATGGTGAAGATACTGGCTATGAGGTGCCTAGCCTGATAATTGCAGCTAAAGATGATCTCAGTTCATTCCCGATGGCAATTCAGGAGACCACAAGGGTGCTAATCTCAATTTCAGAAAATTTATATTTTTTTTTTTGTGAGGTTGCTCTACTTCATTCCTGTACTAATGGAATGGCCCAAATGTTGGTTCTTGCAGGTCACTCAAGATTTGGGGATAGAGGCTCCGATTCCCATCAGTTCGAGAATGGGCGATACGAATAATGTCTTCCGTAGGATTGTAAACGCGGCTGAGCACCCTCATTTGAGCATTCCCGAAACTGAAGCTGGAAAAAGTCGCAAACAGTACCATCGTCTCGTCAACCGCTCGCTTATGTTTGTTTCAGGTATTTCCTACATCTACTGTTCTACCTTTTCTTTTGAGGTTCAATGGAATTAAATGCCCTATACTATTTCAAAACAACCCTATAATATTGCTTTGACAAACACGACCTGTTTACCATGTCCTTTATCCGGTTTTAGTTACTTGATAAAAATTGCGTCCGAATTAGTTGTTTTAGGATTGACTCATATGTTAGCCAGATATGCCTTAGACCCATATGCCATGTATATTTTAAATTGAGGTTTAGCCTCTCAATTCGAGTATTCAGTTCTACCTCTCCTTGTTTGTATGACGTGTTATGGCACCTGATACGTGTTACTAATCATTGGTGTCAACCACATTAGTTAGTAACTTGGAGGAGATTCTGTCAACTTAGTACACAATACTTGATATTATGAGATATTATAAGGGCGTATTTGTTAAAAAGCAACGTAGTATTGTGCATAAAGGTACTTTCAACCCTATGTTTCTGTTGAAATGTCCTCAATACCGCACTGTATTTCCAGACCCAGCTTATAACATCAGTCACTGTAATTTTCAATAATCTTATTGCTTGCCTGTGGACATGACAGCAGTCATTAACTATTACCGAACAATTTATCTCACCCGAACATCTATTTGATTTACTGATCTCATACTTTTATTCATGTATATATTTGTGATGGCAACCTTGTATGTTTAATATGCAGTTGGAGCTGCTGTCGCCATTGTTGGTCTGGCAGCCTACCGAGTTTATGCTGCACGAAAGAACTCATCGAGCTAAAGTGAGATTCGATTAGCAATCATCTCTCTGTTGTGCGAGGATGGCATCTAGGAAGCAGACATCAACCCATTTGGATGTGTTGTTAGTTGGGTAGTTTCTCTTGGGAGTTGTATTCGACTGTAGGAATAGTTAATGCATTCCTCGTTTGTTAATGTCTTTCATCAATGATGGGAAGTTTATTAAATCCAGTGGAGTAGAGTTTCAGTAGTTTTGAAGCTTGACAGAGCATCCCATCTCCATTTGTAGGAATGCGTTAGGGTGGCTGCCAAAATTCCACTAGCCATCTTGGCTACCTTAGTATCCGCCATCTTTTCTTCCTTTTTTAATCTTACTGTTAAGATTGTTGAAGAATAATTTTCGAAGAAAAAATGTGACCACCCATGATTATTTTATATATTCAAACCCAAATCTTACATTTAACCTAACCTTCCTCTGATCAAACCTGCTGCAGCCGTAAGCTCCCATCGTCGTTCCATTCACCAACTCAGCACTCACCGTCGCCTCTGCCGCTGGCAACAAACAAAGCATTTACAACTCTTCAATCTTCACCCAGATCTCCCCCTCTCCTCTCTCACTAGTTCATATCCCCTCTCGTCTGGAGATTTCTCTCCACGGCCGCTACCATCACCATACGCGAATCTCTCGTCCTCCCTCGCACCTCTTATTCTCATCTCCCTAATCCCTCCTCCTCCTGCCTCCCCAATTCGTTTATTCATATCCCTCCCTCTCCATACCGACAACGTTGATTTTAGCTCTTCCGGCGTTCCCGTTCGTTTCCCACTGCAGTCAACGTTGATTATAAACTTTGCTTTTGCAGGTAATCTGGAATGGTAGTGTTTGCGTTGGTAGAGGATTTGTTTTGGTAGCTACTTTGCATTTTTTTTTTATAGTGTTTGCATTATGCTTCAGTAGTTACCTGCATTTCTTTGGTAGTTTGTGCATTACGCTTTGTTAGTTACCTGCATTTGCTTTGGTTAGAAGGAGAATTATGCTTTGCTAGTTATCTGCATTTGGTTTGGTAGTGTGTGCATTACTCTTTGGTAGTTACCTGCATTTTCTTTGGTTAGAAGGAGCATTATGCTTTGGTTGTTATCTGCATTTGGTTTGGCAGTGTATGCATTATGTTTTGGTAGTTACCTGTATTTGTTTTCGAAGTGTTTGTATTGGGCCATGCAATTTTAATTATGCTCACTTTTGACATTCATGCACGTGACACCGGCCGAGATGTTCTTTGTAGAGAGAGAGAGAGAGAGAGAGAGAGAGAGAGAGAGTGGAGGCAGTGGGAGGGGAGAGGAGTTGGTATGGGGAAAGAGGGCTAGGGGAGACCGTGGGTGGTCTGTGGGAGGGGTCATGGAACCTCCTTATAATTAGGGTTCGTTTGGAAGTTGCGATTGTTAGCATTGTATTTGTTAAATACATGCATTGTCCACAATACAACGTTTGGAAGTGTCAAGTTGCAAAACAATGCATGTATTGTTTTGTGTGGGTCCCACCAACAATCAACAAAAATGAGGGATTGTACAATCTCAACTAAAAGTTGTGATTGTTGTGATTGTTGGTTTAATAATTGAGCACATTTACTTTTTCCAATTATGTTCATAGTTCTTTTTGTTTTATATTAAAAGTGGAGGACAAATATGACATTTCCTTATAAAGTAACTTTATAACAATCAATTCATAAATTATAATCTCAACGACCAAACAATGTAATTTCAAAATGCATCTATTGTATCAATGCATGCATTTATATCATAGTGATTCATAACAATACAACGATTTACGATACGCAACTTCCAAACGACCCCTTAGTTTATGTAATTATAGCTCTCTAATTATCTCCCTAATTATTTGCATAATTAAAATGGTATTTTGAATTATAATGATAATAAAAAATACTCTTCTTATTCCTAGTACCATGGTGGTTACTATTACTATACTAAGTAACCATCGTAACCCCTCCCCACGATATTAGAGGTGTGAATTGGGCGGGTTGGGTCGGGTTCAGATTGGGTCTAACCGAGTTGGGTTCAATCGGGTTGTGAGTGCAATCGGGTCGGTTTCAATTTGGTTCGGGTTTAATTGGGTTGCAGGTCAATTGGGTTACGAGTCAATCAGGTCACTGGTCAATTGGGTTATGGATCGGGTCGGGTTACGGGTGCATCAAATTATGGGTTTATTGCATGGCGGGTTAATTCGGGTTCGGTCTGGTCGGATTATGGGTTAGTCGGGTCAACCCATTGGATCATTTACTTCTTGATAGAAAATAATGTTTTGAAATATATGAATATAAATTGTAGGTAATGATACAAAATTTAAGAAAATGATAATATGATAATTTTTTACACATACAAATTAAATATTCATTAAGTTAGTATAAAAACTATATATAAATAAAATAGTGTATACAAAAGCTTTGTTGTTGGTTATAATTTTTTTGTTTATGGTGAGAGATTGTAACTTCACTTATTTTATTAATTTATAAAAAAATTAAATCAATAAAAATTTGAGAATGAAGTAAAAAAGGTAGACTATATGCTTATACATCTCGAAATGAATCGTCTTAATTAAATATAGTATGAACTAGATGTGTGTCTCTTCATTTCCACGAAGACTTATGAACATCATTCCGAATCACCAACTTATATATCTTCACAATTTTTTTTATATATTCACGGTAACATCTCATCCTAAAACTCATGGGTCGAACAACGGTTTGCTCAAATATGATATTATCATCTAGTTCGAATCGTCGATTTATTAATTTATAAAAAATAAATAAAATCAGCAAAAGTTGAGAATGAAGTAAAAATGGTAAACTATCCACTTATATATGTTGATAGGGATCATTGATTTCATTGATTTTGGGGATTTCATTGATTTTCAAGGGTTGATTTTTTTAATATAATTATGGGTGGTGGAGATACAAATTTGTGTCTAACTCTTCCTATTATCTTCAAACATTTATCCTTTGAATTTCATAAAATAAAAAATGAATGAAAAGATATTTCACATATTATTATTTTAAAAATTAAATATTTAATAAAAAACCTCAATTTATACCATCAATTCTACAAATAATTTTCAATTATTATGAGAACAACAGTTCTTTCTTGGTAAATTTAAAAATATAATAACGTATACATTGAATTTTTGTACAAGCATTCGGGTCAAATGGGTTATTCGGGTTATTTGAGTTGGGTTCGGTTCGGTTACAGGGTTATTTGCGTTATGAATCATTCGGGTTATAGATGGGTCGGGTTATGGGTTGGATTAGATAATGAGTTCATCGAGTTACGGGTTGATCGGATTACGGGTCAATTGATTTCGGGTTACGGACGAGCTTCAGGTGGTTGACTTTTTGTCAAATCGAGTTACAGACGAGTTGTGGGTCAGGAGGATTGGGCGAGTTAGTCCGGTCGGGTTTAATTTTGACAGCTCTACACGATATGTTGAGCATACCCAAATATCATCATCAAGTGGCACCAACGCTTCAAATGATCCCATGAATAAGGATGTCAATGGGTCGCGTTAGGTCAGGTTTTGCCAAACCCAAACCCAAACCCATGGGTTTATCCGTGAAAAAAACCCGGGGTAAAACCCACTGGGTTTGAAAAACTCAAACCCAACCCGTTGGGTATCCGCGGGCTCATGGGTACCCACGGGTTTTTGTCGTAAAAAATTCACAATAACAAGTTGCTATCAAAGTTAAAGTCAATTATCAATCTCTCAATACAAATTATCCATATATAAAACACCATTCTAAAAAATTTAAGCAAATCACAAATTAACTATACAAATTGTTCAACGCCAATCTAAAAAACTCAAGAAAATTTAAGCAAATCACAAATTATCCATAAATAACATGATTAATTGCAAGCTTCTTCATTTCAATTAAGTTTTTCACTCTCCACTCGATAACATCAACTTCAATATGCACAACTAGAAAGAAAAAATTAAACATGTCTCCACAAACATAAATAAGATTAGTTGTTTAGAATATTAAATATGCCGAGAAAATTAATTATATGGGTGTTGACGGGTACCAATGGGCCGGGTTTACCTAAACCCAAACCCAACCCGGTGAATAGTGAACGGGTTTAAATCCAAACCCGACCCAAAATCCGTCAACACGAATTTTACCCGCGTTGACCGAATTTGATCGGGTGGGTACCCGTAAGTTCGAGTTTTGTTGCCATCCCTACCATGAACCCAACTTTAGGCTCATTATTCAACAAATTTGTGCGCCACTAACCCGTGACCCATCCTCCTTAGCCCAACTCATTAAAATTTGGGGGTGTTGAAACGTGATTACTCTCAACAAACTAATAACAAGAACTAAATTTTAATTGGTTTAGTTAATTGGTTAACTATATTATCTAATATAATATAACATTATCAATACGTGAGAAAAAGATCTCTTGCTAATGGATCAACTCATTTAAATAATGAATAAAATATAACAATCAACCCATAATAAACGTTTTAACATAAATACATGCAACTAATACAATTTTCTTAGAGTCAGTTAGAAGTAGCCACCTAACAAAAATACATGTGAATAGTATGAGGTTAATGAATTTGGTGTGTCTATGTGAGTTGTCTTACTCTCCTAGCAATAATCGGGGTGTGAAAGAAGTCATTTCCTTTCAGGTTTCATCCATCATGATGCACGAGTTTAACCTAAATTAGGCGCCTATATGTTGTTGTCTACACTTTACAAGAACAAATATAGTACAGGAACAATAATGAACTTTATTTTGTGGATGAGTCCAAAAAATGAGGAACACTTAGACTCTTGAGTGGTTATGCAAAGTATGGGTATATAATATATTAGATATATGGCTAATTGGTTAGGACTTAGGAGTGTCTGAAACTAAACCAAACCACCTAAACCAAACAAACCAAAAAATATAACTAAACCAAATCAATTATCTAAATTAACCAAGCCAAATTATTCGAATACTATTAGTTGAAATGGTTACCATAATAATCACTTCGTTTGATCACCCTCAATTAAAACATCAATAAATATTATACATTTAATAATTATATATATCACATCAACTAAACAATTTCAACTAAAATACAACAATCACTCGTTACTATTACATAAAAAATTAATTCATTTATTATTTATGCAAGCATTCTAAAGAGTAAAGAGCAATTTTCCAATTGAGCCCTAATTGTCGCTACGTCGTATTAGCTGAGAGGCAGACAGGCAGTGTTGCTATTTTCTTCTTAATTCTTATTTCAAAAAGAGAATCTTCTGCAACTTTTCCCCCTCCTTTCTCTCTCACTGGCTTTTCTTCTCAATTTCGTTCTTCTCCCTTTCCGCCGACTAAAAATCCAACCTTTTCCCTCCTTCACTACTTCAGTCAATCAATCGCGGTTCACTCTTTCTCTCGCTGCTCTCTCTCTTCCACAAAATGCAAGGCTTCGTCGGATCGGTCAGGCGGTCGCTCGTCTTCCGCTCCTACCCAGAGAGCATCAGCACCACGGCGGAACTCAACGGTGGCAACAGCCCTCCATTTACGGGGAGACACCCATTGGTCAATAAGATCCATTCTTGCATTCGAAAGTCGGGAATCTTCGCCAAACCGTCGTCTTCCCCTCCGATCCGGTACCGGAAAGGAGAGCTGATCGGGTGCGGCGCGTTTGGGCATGTCTATATGGGCATGAATCTTGATTCTGGAGAGCTTTTGGCTATAAAGCAGGTAAAATTTGGGTTTGGTCTCGCATGGGATTTTCATTTCTGGGTCGTTGGGTGTGTGTGGGTGGGTGGCGGCGGCCGGCGGGGGGTGCTTATTGAATCCAAAGTTTAGAATGTGATTTTTGGGAATGTTCTCCTTTGTGAATTTGATTTTAATTCTGAACTTCTTACTTCGTTTGCTGGAAACAGTGTAATTTGAGAATGTTTCCTACTTTGAGTTTCAGTTCCCACTGTAGCTTCATTGGGGTTAAGGGAGTTTTGTGCTGCATTGTTGGATTCACTAGAAAGTCGTTCTATGAAGGCTCATGTCAAAGATCTTGAGGAAGAAGTGAAGCTTCTTAAGAATCTTTCACATACCAACATCGTGGTTAGTAGCCAGAAATCATTTCAGACTTGCATATACTTTAATTAGCTATGCACAGTTTTCGACTGATTGTCTGTCTAAACCCTTGTGATCCTTATAGATACCTCGGCACAGTTAGGGAGGAGGAATCATTAAACATCTTGCTTGAATTTGTTCCTGATGGATCTATACCTCACTTTTAGGAAAATTTGGACCTTTTCCTGAAGCGGTAAGTTTCTTCACTTCTTCCATGGCTCAAATTTTACCGGCTCACTGCTAATTTATGGCCATGCCACCTATCAGGTTATCGTAACTTATACAGAACAATTGTTGCTGGGTTTGGAATACTTGCACAGTAATGGCATCATGCATAGAGACATTAAGGTGTTTGTTTGACTCTCACTGACTTTTCCTGCATGCTAGAGAACTCCTTCAGCTTTTGTATGGCATGCAAGTTATAATGTGTGCTTTCCTTTGTTTGTGCTTTTAGGGTGCAAATATCCTTGTAGATAATAAAGGATGCATTAAACTTGCTGATTTTGGTGCATCGAAGCAGGTAGTCGAGCTGGTATGAGTCTTGATAATCAGAAAGTTGAATTTTGGCGTTTCGTTATTCTGCGGAATTTTCCCACACAGTGCTTCTTATGTTCTATTTCTGATTGACATATTGTTTCCTCAGGCCACAATATCAGGGGCGAAGTCAATGAAGGGTACTCCATACTGGATGGCGCCTGAAGTCATTCGTCAGACAGGGCATAGCTTGTAAGTTCAAGAACTTAGATCCTTTAAAGTAATCATTTGATCATTTCTATTTGGGAACAAACTCAAATGGAATAAAAACAAGAATGACTAAAATGAACTAGGTAAAGATAAGACTTATTAGATCCTTTAATCCACCATCTATACTTAATGAATGGGTAGGTTAGTGTTACTGTACTCAACCTCATACGTGGTTGATGAAAAATACTGTAGCTCTGCTGACATTTGGAGTGTTGGATGTACTGTGATCGAGATGGCAACTGGCAGGCCTCCTTGGAGCCAACAATACCAAGAGGTAAACTAATATTCTGCTTTATCACGATTTTTGTTGAGGGGCACTTCATTTTTACCTTGCTAACATGTTTCCTGTAGGTTGCTGCCCTCTATCACATAGGGTCAACAAAGTCACATCCAGAAATCCCTGAGCATCTCTCAGCTGAGGCAAAAGATTTTCTGCTCAAGTGCTTGCAAAAGTACCATTTTACTGCCTTTTAACTATGGCCTTTCTCTTGATAGCAGGAATGTTAAAAAGAAAAGGAAAAAAAAAAAAACTCCTCTAACCTCTTTCATCTGCTAATTAAACTGTGCAGGGAACCTGATACGAGACTAGATGCATCTGAGTTGTTGAAGGTGATTCTAGTTTGCTCTAATGGTTATTTTGAGAAAATTTGAGTTAATGGTGTTTGTTGACTCCAATTTTTAACGTGTTAGTGCAGCATCCATTTGTTATAGGGGAGAATGGAGTTTCTGATACAGCAACCAGTTTTAATCCACAGTCAAAACCCACCGAAATACACATCAGGTAAGTAAAAAATAATTCCACCATTTATACCGATTATTTTACTCCTATTATGTTTTCACAATCCATGTTCTTTTCCCCCCCAATTGTTAGACCATTTCCATCTTTATCTGGCTCGGGAGATCTCTGTATCTTGGGGAGTATAAACTACTCCATAAATCTGCAAAACTCAAGTGAAACTCAACATCAGTGGAGACCAAATGATGGAGATGACGATATGTGTCAGATCGATAGCGATTTAAGTAGATCAAATCAAAATCCTATTATGACTTCTGGTGAATTTTGCAATGTAAGATCTTATCTCGACGCATTCTTCTTCAACCTCTTCCATTTTATTGGTTAACTGTTAATTGTGATTGGTTCAGAATCGTAATGTCAAGCATGAGTTCGTTGGAGGTTTAACGGGAAAATTTGATGAGTGTCTCGAACCAGAACAAAGAGAACGAATGTTTACTGAAGAACCAGCTCAGTGCAATAGAACCTTGTCATGTGAGATATCATTATCCGAGGAGGAGGATGAACTCACTGAATCAAAAATAAAAGCCTTTCTAGATGAAAAGGTACAATTTAATTGGAGAAAGATTCTTCAAACTTCCTGTTGACGTAGGTTTGGGACATTGACTTGAATTGAAGTCTTAATTTGATATGGTGGTACTTGCAGGCTTTAGAGCTGAAGAAACTGCAAACGCCTCTTTATGAAGAATTCTACAACAGCATGATTGCAACTAGCTCCTCAAGTTTTCCTCAGGGCTTGTGCAATGAAACTTCTCCGAATTACTTAAAGTTGCCACCTAAGAGCAAGTCACCTAGTAGAGGAGTTTCTCTGCGTGCCTCCTCCCCTGGAACTGTTACCAAAACCCCTGGGAGTACTGGCCGCAGTGCATTAAATGTTGTTGATGCAAATGATGCAACTTCGATAGCCATTTCTTCTGCACAGACCGACGAACAAAATGCAGTGTTTGCTGATACGCAGCCAGAATCTAGTAGCCCAGGGTTAGTATGGAATGATAAGTTGCATCTTTAGTATCTATAGAATGTATTGTTTGGTGATACTTGTGCGTGTTGATTCATATCTGTCTTTTGTTGGGAAATCTGTGCCGCCTTTTCTCCAGCATCGAGGTTTCTGAGAGACAGAGGAAATGGAAGGAAGAGCTTGTTGAGGAGCTCGAGAAGAAGAGAGGTATGGGGGTCTGTGGTCTTTTGCTTACTATAAATGGTTGTGAACTTCATATTCATGAAAGTGGGGGTGAGGAAATGGGTTTTAGTTAAACCAAAACCATACTAAATTCCATGGGTTTCAGAGAACCAAATTTCGGTAAACAAAACTGAATCTGAAATATTGGCTTTAGTTTCATTTTCACAAATACTCCCCCCCCCCCCCCCTGTTTGCAGAGATGATGAGACAGGCAGGGCTTGCTGCCAAAACTTCGTCGTCGCCTAAGGATCGAGCACTGAACAGGCACAGGGAAAAGAGTAGATTCGCATCACTCCAGGGAAGTAAGGCTTCAAACTTCCACCACTGACGATAAATGTTCTTCCCCAAAGTTTTGATAAGGAAAGATCAAAATCTCTGTGAAGAGTTCTTCTGACACCCTTGTGAATATCTTTTGCCTACTACTTCTGGTTTCTCCAAAGCTTTGCCATACATGAGAGGAGAATAGTTTTTGTTAATAGAAATGTGTATTTTCAGTTCTCACCCTCTTGCTGGTTTGTAACCATTTTTGCATAAGAAATGTAGTGGTGAATAAAGTTGATGGGATTCTCCTCGAAAGAGCTAGAATCTTAACTCCCACGAAAATGTTCTCAGCCTCTTAATCAAGAACTTTTCAAGCTTCCATTCTGTAATCTTTTCCTTGCATTTATTATGAGCAAAGCTAGTGGACTAGTGGTTCAATACTCAATAATAAAATTGTGAGATAGCAACCAAAAGTGCTATGCAGATTGATACATTTGTGCGTGCTTTAATTTCCTTTTAAGGGGTTCTACTTGAGCGATCAATTACTATGGTATAATTTCACGAATTCAAATTTTAATATTTGGCTATCATTATAACCCTAAAAAAGGTGGGGAATCCATTCGAGAAAACTGCAAGTGTGAATTAGCAACTGACCATACATCGACTCCTCCAACAAGTGACGTGAATTTTTTGTCTGAAAAGCTTTTCTAGTCAAACAAGGACTACAAACTAAAGCATCGTATAATCCATTTCCTTCTCGAACAAGAGATACAATTATCTGGACAAGAGCTGGAAACAGGGAAAGAAAGAAAAGCAGGAATCACCTATACGGCAATAAGCTTAAACAGAAGGGTTAATACCTTATTTTGACGTGAACTATAAGCCCAACTATATTTTTTGGATAATTTGAATATGATAAATTTTATAAATTAACCAAAAATTATCAAATTATTTTATATTTTTAAAACTTCCCAAAAAATATAATTTATATCATAATTTTTAAATTTATAAAATTTAATTTGATAATTTTGGTTAATTTATAAAATTTATCATTTTCAAATATCCAAAAAAAATTATTTTATATTTTTAGAATTTTATTTTTTGGTTAATTGGAAAATGATAAGTAATATAAATTAGGAAAATAATTTGAATTTGAATTTTTTATTGATTTTTATGCTGACTAGGTAATGACATGACATATTGACTAACGGTCAACAGAGTTGACCGTCCAAATTGACGGTCAAACTATGTGTCGGGCCAATTGAGTCTATATGCTGCATAGTTGAGGCCAGAATGTTAATTTCTGAAACCACGGGCCAAAGTTGATTAAATGGTTATAGTTCGGGCCAAAATAAGGTATTAACCCTAACCAGAATATAAATTTTAAGGGTCGAAGTAAAAAAGCATTAACCAAAGCCAATTCCTTCAATTGGTCGCTGTCGCCACACAACCTGCACACGTACAAGACGACAATCAATGGCTAAACCGGAGCTTCAGCAGCATGAGGAGCCAGATAAGAACCATGAAGATGAACTGCCGAAAACGCCAGAGGCTGCCGCACCAGCTCTACGCCCAGAACCATGGCTGGTTTACCTCCATGGTAAGAAAAACAAGAAGTCACTGATCTACCGCTTGTCAGAACGCCGCCACCATGTCAAGCACATACCTGAAATACGAAATCATCGAATCTTCACCACTTCTCATGGTTGGTTTGTTCTCTATGCTTGGGATGGTGGACATTGCTTGTTGCTAAACCCAGTCACCATGGAGAAGATCCCGTTACCCAATTTGCCTGAATACCACTCGAAGCCCGTCAACTGTGTCCTTTCTTCTCCTCCACATGATCCTAGCTGTGTTGTTATGTTCCAATCACATATGGGGGGGACGAGCTTGCTATACTGCAAGCCTGGGGATGAGAATTGGACGATACTAGTAGTACCGCAATGTAGTATTTGTCGCAGAGGTTTCTGGCTGCATTTTCCAGGATGCGCTGCCCTCAACGGCATGGTCTATGCACAAACACGTTGCTGCAAAAGCCTATGGAAGTTTCAGTTCAATCGAGACATGAGTGGCTGCCAGATGAAATTACTTGATTTGAAAGTCAGAGAACGATACCCTAGAAGCCATGCACATTGCGACAAGTTCTTGGTTCAGTGCTCAGATAGCGAGCTTATGATTGTCGAGTTATATTATGGGTATAAACAAGTGTTCATGCTGGACTCTCATGTCAAAGACATTGGTTGCAAGAGGATTGACTTATACAAGGTGAATTTACAGGACCAAGTATGCCAAAGGATGAAAAGTTTACCTGAAGATTGTGCCATATTCTTAAGCTACCCAGAGAATGGATTCTTCTACAAAATTCCACGAGAAGATCTAAACTCAGGACTTGTTCGCGGGAACACCGTTTATTTCACTGAAAGGAATGACAAGCGTCTTTGTGCATATGATATTAAAGAGAGAAGTGTTAGAGTGTCATTACCTTGCCCCAACATGGGAATTGACTATTATGAGCCACAGTGGATCCGGTTGCCTCTTCATAGTTGGGCTTCAGCAGACGATCCCCAATCAGAAGTAATGATTGCTAGCAAGCAGATTATGTTACCGTCAGGAAGTAGCAGTGCTTGTGGTGGTTGGAACAACGTTCCAACCGACCTTCTTTGTGACATACAGTCGTGTCTATTTGGAGCTGATCGTTGTTACTTTCGTCTTGCCTGCAAAGCATGGCAATCGGCCTTCTCGAACTCTAACTGTGAATCTGATCTTCAATTGGGAAATGTGCAGAGAAATCATCGATTCCCAATCCTCGTGCACATAGGAAGCAACAGTGAGCAAGTCAAGTTCTTCGATCCGGTAACCAATTCTACCAGCACGTTGCCTTCACCCAGTTTAAAAGGCACAGAACCAATCGTTCGTTGCTCTAAACATGGATGGTTGTTGATATCCTCCCAAGGAAGTTCAAGTGAACTATTCTTTCTCAACCCTTTTACTAGCGAAAGGATTGACTTACCTAAAATGCTATGTCACCAAGACGGGTTTACTTTCTCTTCTCCTCCAACATCCTCCGACTGCATGGTAATTTGCTACACAGTCTGTTCCACATATGTGAACCTCTACTCTATTCATCGCGGACGATACGGCTGGAATTACTCGTCAGCGGAGAAGAAAGGAACTCATTTCAAGAGTTCTTACAGCAATCCAGTTTACCACCAAGGACTATTCTATATCATGGGAATGAATGGAAATCTATGCATTCACGATCCAGGGCCAAGACGTTCCACTAAGTTCATGAGCTTGCCCAGAAGCCCTTGTGCGTCAATAAGAAGAGCCCATTTGTTGGAGTCCAGAGGGAAGCTTCTATCAGTGTTCACGGGTCCCATGGGGAGGTTTCTGCGGGTATTTGAGCTGAAACACACAACCATGGCTTGGAAAGAACTCTACAATCTAGAAGACACGATGCTGTTTCTGAGCTCTACTTCTCTGTTACCAGCAACAAGCAGCGGAGCGGACATTTCAGGGTTGGGAAACAAGGTGTTTCTGGACAGGTTTAGTGGGAGAGATGGCATCTTCTACTCTCTGGCGACAAGAAAATTTCATACCTTTTGGAGCGGACGGAACAGTAGCGACTGGCGCGACACCAAGGAGTACACGTATAGCGCTTGGATCGAACCGAACTTGGAGAAGCACACGGAAACGGAGCTCCGATGGTTTCCTGCAGAGGATGACGAGGAAGAGGCAGAAGAATGAGCAATTGAACCCAGAAAAGCCTCTGTTTTCTTTCGTGTAAACATCAAATTTCCCATTTTGAACCCAGAAAGCGCAGTTCATAAGTCATAAGTTTATTAGGTTTCGGTTAATACTTAATTCAGACCAACGAAATGAACAAAACCACATGTTCGAGATTCTTTTACACATTTCATCAAACACCTTCGGTGCTAAACTCAAACTAACGAGACTTACCGATCTATACAGACCAAAATGCGATGCTCCAGGGAATAACTTTGTTTTGGAAGAAATGGAACTCCATCCTCCGCTTTCCATATAAGTTAGTTGCCGAAACACACAGGAACAGATCATGTCAGTAATTTTATGGTGAGTAACTATGAGTAACCTGTCCACATTAGCATGACATCAACATCTCTTTCTCTTCTCAAAAGCCTTTAATTTTGGGGCTTGCTATTTGCCGCCAACCAAAAAAAAAAAAAAAAAAGTATATATATACATAGTAGGGTAAGGAGTTTCACAATCTACAACATATCCAACTTTCAGAGAACATATTGAATCAGAAAAATTCAACGCTCGCCGGAAAAGTCGCCGGAAAATCATCGGGAAAGCCTATCCTCGACATATACTGCGTACACGCATCAATGAATCATCACTAAGCAGGTGCGTAATTTTTTTGTAGTTTCGAACAATTTTTCCGACGATTTGAAACGAACAGACGGTGGGCCGAAAATTTCCGGCGGCCGGAACCTGGCCGGGCCGAAAATTTCCGGTGGCCGGAACCTGGCCGAGCCGAAAATTTCCGGCGGCCGGAACCAGGCTGAGCCGCAAGATATTTTCGGCCCGGCCAGGTTCCAGCCACCGGAAATTTTCGGCCCGGCCAGGTTCCGGCCGCCGGAAATTTTCGGCCCGGCCAGGTTCCGGCCACCGGAAATTTTCGGCCCACAGTCTGTTTTTGCAATTTTTCGGAAAAATTCGATTTTAGGAGTTGAATTTAGAGTTTAGGAGTTGAATTTAGCGTGTAAGAATTGAATTTAGAGTTTAGGAGTTGAATTTAGCGGTTAAGAATTGAAATTAGCGTTTAGGTTCACAGGAATATTGATATATTATATTGTAATTGTAGGAAAAATGTCAGAGTTGTTACCGGCCGATCATGATTACACACATGAATTTGAGAATGGGATCCATTATGCAAGTGTGGAGTTAGCTGAGTTAGCTGCAAGAACAATCGCTCAGCAGTGTGGGTTCTTTATTGTTAGAGGATCATGGAAACCGAATACTGCTGGACAGAATCCTGTTACTGCCCTCTGTATGTATTGCGACAGAAGTAGTAGGATCGTTAAGTCTTATAAACCAGACCCTACGAAGGAGACGCGTGAGAATATTAGTTCGAAGGGTACTGGTTGCCAGTTTCAGATATGTATAAAGGAAGTATGGCAAAAGGATGGTCCAAACACATGGGTCATGGTGGGAGTGACAAGTCGTGAAACCGGAGCTAATAGAGGGTTTCACAACCATGAAAAGGTGTTGTATCCAGAACATCACCGACACAACAAACAGTTTAGTGAGGCTGAAAAAGAGAGGTTAAGATTAATGAGGAAGGCGGGGGTGAGACCAAATCAGCAGAAGACGACACTCAATACTGAAGGGGGTGTGCATCATGATATCAAACAGATGTACAACATAAATTCCAAGACAAGATTGGATGAGATGGGTGAAATGGATGCGATACAGTTTGCGCTTCACGGAGCTGAACATCGTGGGTACCATATCTGTTTGCAAAAGGACTCTAATAATGTGCTCACTAATCTGTTTTTTGCGCACCCGACGTCCATTCAGATGTTGCATGCATGGCCGTACGTCATCCTCATTGACTCGACCTACAAGACCAACAGGTACGGCTGGCCATGGGTTGAGATTATTGGGGTTACTCCAGTGAAGAAGAATTTCAACATTGCATGTGCAATTATTAAGCAGGAAACAAAGGAAACATATGAGTGGCTGCTGCGATGTATTAAAGGGTTGCTCGGTGATACGGTTCCGAATGTCATTGTGACAGACAAAGAAGGTGGTTTGCTTGCTTCTATTCCTGTGGTCTTCCCTCTCCCACATACTGTCCACCTACTATGTTTATGGCACGTCAACAACTGTGTGAAGCAAAAGTTTGAAGTGTTACTTGGTGGAATTGCAAAAAGAGAGGTAGCACATGCGGTATGGAAGAAATATTTCGACAAAGCTGCATGGAGTTGGACTCAGGAGGGTTTTCTTCAAAAGATTAATGAGTTTGAGAGGGTCTGGACAGTGAAGAACAAAAAAATGGTCGACTACGTGCGAGGTGAGTGGTTGCCTCATCAGACAATGTGGGCAATGTGCTACACGAACCATGTGTTTCATCTTGGTAACACGAGCTCGAATAGAGTTGAGTCATCTCACTCTTCATTCAAGACTTTCCTTGTGTCTGGTAGAGGAGCAATCGACACTTGTTTTGCGAAGAACCACAACTACATGGAACAACAGTTTCTGGAAGTGGTGAATGAACTGCACAAGTCACTGAACCGCAATCTGAGTAGGGCAATTGAGGCTCCGTGCACGTTTTTGAGGAGGGTCGTTAGTTCTGAGGCAATCAAACTGATGTTAGATGGGGCGGCGGAGTTGAAGGACAGTTGTGCGTGTCATTTTCAGATGACACATGGGCTCAAGTGTGCTTGCCAGATTGTTCAAGCTAAGGAAGAAGGACGTCAATTCTATGCTCAAGAGTTGCATGTATTTTGGCGGACTTTGGATTATAAAAACCCCCCACGTCAACAACAAGTCAGTGATGAAATTGAGCTTCAACGAGAACACTTTAGGCGTCTTACTGTTGAGGTGGAAGAAAGAGGTCCTGAAGCAGTGAGACAAGCAAGAGATGCCCTATTCTATGGGCTTCATCCAGCAGAGGACAATGTGAGGGAACCGGAAGTGAATGAGAATCCGAGAGGACGCCCTAGAACAAGCACCAGTCGCATTCGTTCATATTATGAGCGGTCTCGTTCGAGGAGTACTGGGCCTGGTTCGAGTGGAGGTAGGGGGCGATCGAGTGGAGGCAGATCCCGATCGAGTGGAGGCAGATCTCGATCGAGTGGAGGCAGATCCCGATCGAGTGGAGGCACATGTCTATATGAACCATGTGGGATAGCAGAGCATCCCATGCAGCATCAAAACTCTCAGGAATCCGAAGGACATATCCACCAGGTGCCTCTGGTCGGTCTGCTCGCTGAGGACGCGAAGGGGCAGGCGGTACCATCTGAACATATCCAAACTGTCGGAGGCAACGGGCTGGATCGTAGAACTCGCCTATGTCAGCGAACCGGATGACTCCAGTGTACAAAGAGCGACGCACTGCCTGATGAGGCCTCTGATGGAAAGGTGTCCAAAACACATCAGAAGGGGTCAAGCTGTCAAGAGCTCGACGGTAGAACGCCAACCTCACACTGGGATCCGCCACAGAACCAGGTGCCGGCTGCCCAATCCATCGTGAAGCCCAAGCATCATCAGGTCCAACGGCGGCAGGCTCGAAGTGAGATGGCCTGAAACCCGGAAAGTACTCGTAGATCCAACACTGCAGAAGTGTGAGACAACCAGCCATCCCCCTGGCACCAGCACGAGACGCCTGACCAAGGTATCTGTACAACCAAGCAAGTGTACCTGACGCCCAACTATACTGATCTAACTCCTCCAACTCGTCCAAAAATAGGTTCACCACCGACCGAACCCTGTCTCTACTCTTGTCCACAAACAAAGTGGACCCCAACAACAACAACAAGTACGACTGCGCCTCTGTCACATGTGTCCCGTGGCTCTGCAAGTATTTGGACGCCATCTCTGCAAGAAAACCACCCTTCTCGTACCACTTACCCCTATTATTATATCCAGGGACCTCCGTACGACCACTCAACTGCTCCGAGTTCATCCCAAGAAGCGCACACAAACCCGCCTCCGGATGGTCAAGCTGCGCAGAACTCCTACTCATCAGTCGTCCCTCAACAGGAATCTGCAGTAAGTACTGAACATCGTGGAGGAGGATCGTCATCTCTCCAAAAGGCAAGTGGAAGGTGTTCGTGTCTGGCTGCCACCTCTCCACAAAAGCTGAGATCAAAGCATCGTCAATCGCTATCCTGCGGAACATAGAGTACATCAGGTGCTGGAGACCTGACTGCTGAACCAGATTCTCCGCCTCAACATGACTAAACACGTAGCTACTCAAATAAGCAACCGCCGATGTACGGCTGTAGCAACTGATGACCCCTCGATCTCCAGCCCCCGTCCAAAGCGCATAGGCAACGTGTCCACGAAAGCTCCTAATGAGGCTAGGATCCGTAGGTCCACCAGGACACTCACCAACAAGCTCCCACGGTGGAGGACCACTCGAACGTCCTCCCCTACTCCGTCCAGTCCCCGAGCTCTCTGTCTCCTGACGAGCAGGTGGTACGAAGCGCCCAGCTCGGTCCCTATACATAGCAGGACGTGATGTTGCCGTACGAGACGACACTCGTCCATGTCCACGCGTAGGTGGAGGGACCTCGATATCCTCATCACTATCGTCCTCATCAAACTCAGCCGAGACCACTCTGGATGCAGCACCCTGGTTCCTCCCATGGGAACCAGACGCCCGTGATGCCGAACGAGCAACTACAGTAGGAGCCTCTAACTCATCCTCCCCTAAATTTGCCTGTGACTGATGTCCAATATCTCGAGAGCGCTTATTCTCCTTATTCTTCCTTCGTGCTGATACATCAACAACCCTACCATTGAATCTATTCAACTCATCCCCACCCGCATGACCCGCATCATCCATATCTAATTATCTACAAATTTACAAAATATCATACTTAGATGCGCACTAATTAATTAATTTTCTATTAACTAATGTAATATTAACATCAATTGTTAATTAATCACAAATTAATTAAATTTCTATTAACTAATGTACTGAATATTAACATTAATTGTTAAATCAATTCTTAATTAATTAAAATTCCATTAACTAATCTAAGTAATTAAACATTCAAACGCCTATTACAAAAAAAAAACATTTATAAACCAACTGAAATAAATATTAACACTAATTGCTAATTTCTACTAACCAATTAAGTATTTATTTATTTATTAATTAATTATCGTATTAAATTAAATTAAATACAAAAACTGGCCGGGCCGAAAGAAATTAAATTAAATTTCTATTAACTAATGTACTGAATATTAACATTAATTGTTAAATCAATTCTTAATTAATTAAAATTCCATTAACTAATCTAAGTAATTAAACATTCCAACGCCTATTACAAAAAAAAACATTTATAAACCAACTGAAATAAATATTAACACTAATTGCTAATTTCTACTAACCAATTAAGTATTTATTTATTTATTAATTAATTATCGTATTAAATTAAATTAAATACAAAAACTGGCCGGGCCGAAAGAATTTTGCGGCCGGTGCGCCGCCGGGCCGAAAAAAATTTGCGGCCGGAGCGTCGGCCGGCCGAAAAAAATTTGCGGCCGTGGCGTCGCCGGGCCGAAAGAATTTTTCGGCCGGTGCGACGGCCGGCCGAAAATTTCTTTCGGCCCGGCGACGCCGCGGCCGCAAATTTTTTTCGGCCGGCCGACGAACACGCCGCCGGAAATTTTTTGGGCGGCGAGGTTGGCGACCGGCCGAAAAAAATTTGCGGCCGCGGCGTCGCCGGGCCGAAAGAATTTTTCGGCCGGCCGTCGCACCGGCCGAAATTTTTTTTCGGCTCGGCGGCGTATAGGCCGCAGTTTTTTTTCGGCCCGCCCTGTTTTTCGCCGGAAAACTGGAAAACTTGCCGGAAAACTGGCCGGAAAAAATAAACTTACTTGTTTTCCGACGATTGAGGGCGACGGGAGGTTAGCCGACGATGGAAGAACGGTGCCGGCGACGGAGGCACTGGGCTCGTCAACAGAAGTTTTTGTTGGAATGAGTCAAATGTTCATGGGTATCCGAATTTATAGAATGAAAGGAAGGGAAGGGAGGGAAAATTCAAAATTTGAATTCAAATTTTTTTTTTTTTGTTGGCGGCAAATAGCAATTTGCTTGGCGGCAAATAGCCGTTCACTTAATTTTCCCCTCCTTAATCTTTGACGGATGATTTTTCACTCGTTTTAAGTCAAAATTTAATTTTTTTGCACGTTAGATCTGATTAATTGTGCTTTTCAAAATGATATCCACTTTGATATATTTTTCGAACAAAAAAAATTGACCCATTTTTTACCAGTCTATACCATATGGTATTGACTGGTATTGAAATAAGAGCATACCTATGGTTTGAAAAACGTACCATGGTAGTATGAACAAACCAAGACTGTAAGATGGTTGAATACATGATAGTAGCAGTATATTAACTGTCATTTACGACTTTTAACATTGTGTACCACAAGATACCAGCCCGTACCAGGGTGGTATTGTATGATATTGTGTAGTATTTTTTGGTCTTGTAATTTGTTCACCCAGAAATTTGTAGATCCAATAGATCATGATGAACTCATTCCTTTTATGCAAACGTTTTCAAAAACGAATTAAAAACGAAGGAAATACCATATGGTATGCAGTTTGTACCGAGAGGCCAGATTTTTTTTTTCTCAAAAAATATTGAAAATTGATCTCATTTTGTAGAGCACGATGAACTCGTTCCATCTGTGAAAAATAAAATTAAAAAACCGAGTTAAAACGGAAAAATATGAGCGGATTAAGAAAGCTAGAAAAAAATGACATTCAATTCTCCATCCTTAGATCTGAATTTTCTGAATGAAGGGTCCAGATTTGGTTATTGATGGGTGCATAACCCATAGTTATGCACCCTATCTTGAGCCGATCGTTGGTGGCAGAGAATCCGAACTGCCACGCACGCAGTCATCCGTAAGTCGTCCTATAAGAAGCCAACCTCTTGAAGGCATAGCCATAGGTTTACTTGTTGGATTTGTAGAAATAAGAGTATGGGAATTTTGTTGTTATGGATTTCCATTTTTTAAATATGAATTATTTGATTATCGATAATTTAAAATATTTTTGTTTTTAATGAGAATGTAAAATTAAATGACCATCATGAGTAGGGGTGTACGTAGGTCGGCTTTCATCGTTTTAAACATTCAATCATGAGTCTGGAGTTGAATGATAATGAACCAAACCCACTCATAATTTTGAAGATCCTACGGTTTTCTAGAGTCACGGTTTGGGCCGGGTTGGATGAAAATTCAATCTATTATGCGAGAACAAAATATTTACGTTAATAAGATAATACAACGAATAATATGTATATGACACTATGTGATACTTCAAAAATGCAAGATATTGTAGCGCGGGTCAACCCATTTTGACCCTGTCCTGGTGAGAAAAATGGGTTTCACGCACCCGCCGGGTCGACCGCTACAAGTTATCGAGTTGAAGGTCAAATTGTGTCATGTTTTTCTTCGGTTAGCGAAATGCGCCTATTTTTCGATTTTCTTTTCGCCTAACTCAATCTTTGGAATCCTTAGTTGAACATTTGAATATTGGTGTTATATAAGTGTGTGTGAATTTTCACTATATGTTGGATCTAAGTACATCATGTTACTTTGGTGTAATGTTATATGTTATTACTCATATGCTATGAGATTTTATATAATTTATCAGGATAAGTACAATATAATGATTCTTTTCATATATCGGGGGCTAAAACGGGTGACCCGTTAACCCTTAACCCACTAGATCGACCGTGTACGGGTCAACCCGCGAGTTGACAACCAATGTAGTAACATATTGCATTCATAGTACAAAAATAGAAGAACTAAAAATAATTTACTTATTATTACATTATAGTATACTAAAAAATTAAAGTATAAAGAGAGGATGTGAAGATAAGTGTATATGTTAAGAAAACATTGATAAATAATTGAGTTTCAATTTATCAACACAACCTTAGTCATATGATCTTCACTCCACAAAGTAGGGTTGTTATGGCAAAAAAAAAAACATAACAAATATGTTAGATATAGCATTAGAATTTATGGTAAATATAATATATAAGACAAAACTATTAAGCATCTGGAAATAATACCCATAACTATCAAAATACAAATTATTAGCCAAACGTTAACTTTCTGTTAACAATTCCGTTAGTAGTGTTGACTAAGCTTTACGATGTTGAACTAGCTCCCACGTGACAGAGTCACCATATCATATTTTTTTTAATTTTTATTATAAAAATAAATTATTAAATAATTAAGAAAATGAAAGGAAAAAATTACTAAATAAATTCTAACAATTAAAAGGAACCCCCAAATCTCAATTCGTCTCCCTCTCCCCGTCTTCCTCCGCCCTCCCCTGTCTCCTAGGCAATTCATATTGGGATTGATGGCGATGATTCAGTCCCGGTCACTCCCTGACAACTCCCTGCTTTCAGCTACTTGATAGCTACTTCCTTGCCATTGGGAAGCACTCCTCTGTGAACATAACCGAACCCATGTTGTCCAAGTAAGTTAGCCTCCGAGAACCCATCAGTAGCCCCTCGCTAGCTCTTCATATGTAAACATGCTCTTCGAGAAGCCTAATGATTGTCCAGGAGAAGGCGATGGGAATGGGGTTTCGGAGCCGGAGTAGTTGGACGCCCCGCTGCTGCTCAAGTAAGCCTATTGCTGAGGTGGTGGTGGTTGTCTCGTCGATGCTGGTAGCCCAGGTCGTAGTTTTGGCATTGATGGCACCACTCGATCCGGCGCCGACAGAGCTATCTACTGCTAGTGCTGTTGCTATGGTTGCCTACGGGTCAACTCCAACCATTAATAAAAAAACCACTCCATTAGTTTTCTAGAATCTTGAATGCAAATTTTCATATTGAAGGAGCATATCTGAGTAATTTTGACCCAAGTCAAACGTAGTGAGGGGATATTTTGGCTTTTCTCGACAAAATTTGTCAATTCCAATTTGGAATTCAAAGGGGTTAAAGGAAGGAGAAAGGGGAAAATCGAACATTTAGGGCCAAAAGAAGGCGACGATGGAGGAGTGTAGTAACCAGCTTCATTGTCTCCCATTCTTCTCCTCCTCTTTCGAGGAGCGAACCACCGGAAGAAGACAGCGGCGAGCGGGTGGAGGGAGGCTTTCGGGTCCCTGATGGGGTAAACGGCGTGGAAGGGGTGACTTGGCTAGGGGGTGGATGGCGGGGTCGTGGAGGAGGAGGATTGCGGTGCGGTGGTGCTCAAGGACAAGGACAAGGAGGAGGAGATGGTGTGGAATGGATGCGAGGAATGGTGACCGTGGAGTGAGAGGCGGAGAGGGAACAAGAAATGACGACCCTTCAATTTTAGGTTTATTTTTTACTTTTATATATTTTAAAATTATAAATTAAAAGTAGTCCGACGCGGCTGCTGGCGTGGCATTCCCCGTTAAAAATTTAATAACGGTAATGGACTGTTAGCCATATTTTGACCTGAAATAATAGTGATGGCTAATAATTTGTATTTTGATAATTGTGGCTATTATTTCTCACTATTTAATAGTTACGCCTAATATAGTGTATTTACCCTAGGATTTATAAAGGTCAAGAAGAAGTAATGAAGTGCAACAACTACTTTCAGAAGCTATTTAAAAAAGGCCATGATCCTGCTTTAGACTATGTCATTGAAGCCATTCAAAAAGGGGATTTTTTATACTAAACTAGATATGGTGAAACGGGTACATAAATATTGTGTATTAAAAAACACCCAAATACTATAGTTGGAAAAATATTTCCCAATCTCATGTCGTGAAAGACTAATTGAGTTTTAATGAAACGAGAATGTCAAGTTTAGATGCGCGTCTTAATTGGGTGGTTTTCGTTGCAAAAGCGAATTGGAGCGGGAATAATCCGAAATTGGGCCCTCACGCCTTAATTGGGCTTATTCGTGACCTAATTCGCATTCCAACGTACATTTTTTGTGTATTCACGCCAACGAGAATTTTCTAACAGGCAACCAAACAAGAAAATGGTTCTAACGGGCAACTTTGAGGAAAACAGGCATTTGAGTGTGCCTATAAATAGGATGTGATTTTGCTAATGAATTGTCACATCTTCTTCCACCATTATTAAGTTTCATCTCCTACAAATACCATCCACCACTGTGAACAAAGTTCATGCATTTGGATTGCGCAACCAATTAGAGATTATGACTAATGTAAGGTTTGTGTATATCAGTCTTTGTTTCTTCTTTGGTGAATATTTTATTAGTAGATTGAACTTGTATTTTTCTCATTATAAAACCCGAGTCCTAATTAGTCTTAATCGACAGTAGATTGGGAAATATGTTTTCAACTGGGGTATTTTAGATAATTTTTCTTATACACAATATTCTAGTATAAATCCCTATTGAAAGCCTATGACAAGGTGGAATGAAGGTGTTTAGAAAGGCGAATTAGGAAAATGTGCTTCCATGAGAGATGGATAAGACTTATGATAATGTTTATATTGACACTCTCTCACTCGGTTTTATTCAATGGAATTTACCCCTTTAGAGGACTCAGGAAGGGTGACGTTTTATCACCCTATATATTTTTACTATGTGATAAGAGATTCTCAATTTTACTATAACAATAGAGATAAGGGAGAATTTCATGGAATTAAGATAAACGATAGGGGTGGCCAAGTTTCCAACCTTATTTTTGTGGAAGAAAATTTCATTTTTGCTCAGCCATCAAAAGAAAAGGGTGCAAAACTAAAGAAAATTCTAAGAATATATGAGGAGGAATCGGGGCAGCAGATGAACTTGTCTAAATCTGAGCTGCCTTTTAGCAAAAAAGTGTTAGGAGATTGAAGACAAGAGTTAAGTGGAATTCTTGGTATAAGAGAAGTGGACAAACATGAGAAGTACCTCGGCCTACCCACTCTTGTTGGAAGGTCAAAGAATGTTATCAAAGCTAAGGAAGGAGTCAAACGTAAACTCATAAATTGGAAGGTGAAGACCATGTCAGAAGCTAAGAAGGAGGTTTTGATTAAAATCGTGGTCCAAGCACAATTCATATCTTATGATGATATTTTAGATTCCATAAGGTATACTTGATAAGATGATTCATGGCCATATTTCGAGTCTGGTGGGGACTAAAGGAAGGAAGAATTAGAAGACACTAATCATAAGGTATCTGATCCATCCTGATTTGTCTCTTTCAATATACTCAGCCAAGCTTCCACTTCATAGGGTTACCCATATCTTGACTCTTGTTGGAAGATCAAAGAAGGGGTTTTTTTTAACAAAAGAGAATCATATATTGATTCACAAAACAGATAGTTACATCTTGGAATTCAGCCACTCCTGGAAACCAAATAAACAACTCATAGTCGGAGACAATGAAAGGGCCTTTCTAGCCACCAAGTGGGCTACCCTATTGTTACGCCGACCTACAAATCGCACACGAGACCTAGAGTGAAAGACCAAAGAATGCACAATTTCCTCCAACATGGCTCCCATCCGGTTATCTCTAGTCTCCGCCTGATTGACATTTTCTATGATGACCTTGGCATCACCCTCAAAGGTAACTTCCGTGAAGCCCCGCCCTAGACACCAACCAATAGCCTCCTGCATGAGAAGCAATTCCACCACCATTGGGTCATCAATACTATGAAATTGAACCCCTTTAGCTAAAAGAATCACCTTAGCCGGGGTTATTAGCACCATTCCTCCTGCCGCGTGAGACCCACTCCGGGTGGCCCCGTCCCACATACACACCACCAAACCAGTCCCCCAGGACTCAAGTGATGTGGCGCAAGGGCGGAAGGTTGGAGTACCTGGTCCACCGGCAAACGAATCCATTCCTCAACCTGCTAGTGAAACTGACGCATCAAGGCAGGGATCCCAAACTGCTTTCCCTCAAAGACCACAAAGTTACGAGATCGCCAAATCCTCCAAAGGACAGCAACAACCTCCATAAACAAAGGTGGTTGATGAATTAGAGACATCAACTTTTTGAGAAAAAAAAGCGGGAAAGTGTGACGAGGCAACCCTTGGCCAAGATATTCCAGCCCCGAATAGTCCCATAGAGCGCGGGCCACTAGGCAGTAAAGAAACAAGTGTTCCATTGTTTCAGCCTCTGCCCAATATAACGGAGAGCGAGGAAGCACTGGGACACCCTTCTCAATTAGGGCCTTCGTAGTTGGTAGAATCTGGTTACAAATTTGTCAAACAAACACCTTTAACTGAGGAGGGATATTTGCCTCCCACAAACGAATCCAGCTGGTCCTGTCCATCCAACTCGCCATAGATCTCCATCGACCTCTCCTCTTATCCAATAGGACAGCGAGGTGATAGGCGACTTAACAGCGAAGACCCCATCCGCTGTGTCATTCCAGATTAGTCTATCTGGCACATCCTGACATGGTAGGGGAATAGCTTTAATGGCCCGACAGGTTGGCGGGTCAAACCACTGTCTAAGTTTGGAATCACACCATCGCCCTTCCCCCTCACAGATAACCTCCACCACCGGAGGGTCCCCCCTTCCGGTAAAACCTGGGGATTATATAATGGGGGAGAGGTGTGTAATCGTGGAATCCAAGTGGAATGGACAAAGAAGTCGTCTGACCATTGCCAATCTGCCATCGAATTCCCACATCCAATAACTGTCTTCCATAAAGCATACTCTGCAAGCCCCAAGATGTGCGTGAGTGTGCCATAGCAGAGAGGAAGGTGCTAGTAGGAAAGTACTTTCCTTTATAAACCTGGGCTAACAGGGAATCTGGCTCATTAAGGATACGCCAGCCAATTTTAGCTAAGAGAGCTTGATTGAAATGTTCGAACAGACGAAATCCCATGCTTACTTTTGCACATATTGCGTAAGCACATCCACTGAATCCTCGACTGGCCCTCCTCAACGCCCCACCAGAACCTTGTCACATGCTTATCCAAGAGCCGACATAGAAAGTGGTAACTTAAAACAGGACATTACATGCAACGGCAAAGCTAAAGCGACAAACTTAATCAAGGTTTCCTTAGCTACCCAGAATAACTTCCTCTGTTTCTACCCCTAAAGGCACTCCAACAACTTCTCTTCTAAATAACGAAAGGTAGCTATCTTAGATTGGGCTATCAACGTAGGTAATCCTAGGTGTTTATCATGGGCACCGACCACCCCAACACCTAGAATCTAAGCCAAGAATTCTTGGTCATGCAAGGAAATGTTATTACTAAAACACACTACTGATTTAGCCAAGTTCACCCTCTGGCCACTGAGTTCCTCGTACTCATTCAGAACTTTGAGCATATTCTCACTTTCCTGGAGATTGCCTCTAAGAAATAAATAAGAATCATCCGCAAAGAAGAGGTGCGAGATTCGGGGGCATCGAGGAGCCACCTTAACTCCTTGCAGTTTCCGTTCAGAGATGGCCTTCCTTAGGAGTGCTTCAAACACCTCCATGCAGAGCACAAATAACAAGGGAGACAGAGGATCCCCCTGCTAAAGTCCTCTAGACGGCGTGAAGTATCCCGAAGGGATACGATTCATTAGAACCGAAAACGAAGTTGATCTAATGCATTCATGAATCCAACCACACCAGGTTGAATTAAAGCCCATCTTTTCCAAAACAGCAAGGAGAAATGGCCTCGACTCTATCATAGGCCTTTTCCATGTCAGCCTTTAGAGCCATGTACCCCTTCTTTCCTTGCGTTTTGATTTTTAGATAGTGCATTAACTCATGTCCTATAAGGATATTCTCAACTATTTGGGTCTCACGGATAAAAGCATTTTGCCCTTTCGAGTCTATTTGCTGCAAGAGATAAGCCAGTCACTCAACCATGATCTTGGCTATAATTTTATACACAAACTGGCATAAGCTTATTGGACGAAGTTGTCTCATTGATTCCACATTATCCACTTTAGGGATAAATGTTAGCCAAGTATGATTGAAACTACGGAGCATCCTACTCGTCATGAAGAATGAGCAGGCAACTTCAATCACCGAGTTGCCGACAATATTCTAGAAGGATTTAAAGAATTTGACAGTCAACCCATCAGAACTTGTGCCTGCTTCAAGCCCATAGAGAAAACTGATTTCCTCACTTCACTAGGAAGGACTGCAGTCGTAAGACTGACATTAATTTCCGGTGTAATACTATGGGCTATGGGAAGATCAGCCACCCGTTCAACCATGTTCCGCACCTGGTTCTCCAAGGTGAAAAGAGTTTGATAAAAAGCACCGACAATGTCTGCCTTCCCATTTGGCCATTTTCCTCCGTGATCCAGTCACCACTATCATCACGAAGGCCAGCAACGAAATTTCGCTTACGCCATGTTCGCGTAATTGTATGGAAATAAGAGGTATTTTTATCCCCTTTTTTCAACCATCGGACTCTAGAATTCTGCTGCCAATATAGTTCCTCAGCATCCCATTGCTGATTCAACTCTATTTCCAGGATCCGGATCTCATCCCAGTCAATAGGGTGGACTGATTTATCCGTCCAATTTCAGCCTGCAGAGTTTTAATATTGCACAGAGAATTTGTAGTACCCGCCCTCCTCCAGTCATAGAGCAGATGGCGTAACTTTTTAAGTCGCTCCCGAAGTTGGAACATAGGAGTTCCCTGAATTTCCTCCTGCCAAACGTAATGAACCATAGTATTGACCTCCGGATTATCAGCCCATCGAGCATCATATCTGAGCAGGGTACGAGTATTTCGGGTATAAGCCCGATTAGAGAGGAGGAGAGCCCGATGATCAGAACCCTGATCAGTGAAATGTTTGACCAAGATGTCCGGGTAGTGATCAATCCAGGTCTGAGAGCACAAAGCTCTGTCCAACCTCTCAAGAATACAAGCCGCGCCCATACGCCTATTTTTTTCTTTCTTTTTTCTATCAATCGTGCCCATACGCCTGTTAGTCCAGGTGAATTGATCACCCTGATATCCAGGATCATGAAGACCAAGGTCTTGGATAAAATCACGTAGACTAAGAGATTTGGCCGCATTCCAAACATTCCCGCCATCTTTTTCACTCTCATGAAGGGTAGTGTTAAAATCTCCAATGACAACATAGAGAAGTTGGATGGCCGCACATATTTCCCTTAAATGAGCCAATTGGGTGGCTCTTGTTGCAACATTACAGCTAATGTAAACCGAAATCACAACATAAGAAAAATCCAATTCATTAATTTGAGTGCAAATACAGAATTTGGAATGAAAAACACCGAAGCAGCAACCTCGGGGGACCAAGAAACTAGGGGTGGGCATTCGGTCGGCTAGATTCAAACCAAACCAAAATTATGCATACCGCGTCCCCGAATTCTATCAAACCTCAAACCGAATTCGAACCGAATTATAATTCGGTTCGGTCGGTTCAAATCAATTATAATTCGGTTCGGTTTGATTTTTCATACAAAACCGAACTTGTGAGGTTAGCTTGTATCTTCTCTTTTTTAAATTATTTTTCACCCCTAATGTAAACAATAAATATGCATCATCAATGATAAAATCAAATATTTCAACACATAAGTCATAAAACACTAACATGATTCAAATATTTAAGTCTCATAATAAGTAGGGGGATTTTCAAGGAATAGCAATGTTTAAATTTTTTTTCCAAAAATAGCACTCAACCCCGAAAAATTCCAAAAATAGCACCCTTTTCCCAAAAACCGCCACCCGAACCAGCGGTTTAGGCGAAAACCGCCACCCGGGGGCGTGTTTTTCAATGAAAACCGCACTGGTAGGGGGCAGTTTTGCAAACCGCATGGGGCCGTGGCGGTTTGGTTGCAAACGAACGAACGAATCTTTGTGTTCGGGTATCCGATCGTCGCGATTTTTTTTATTCCGCATAACTTTTCAAGATCTTGCAAGTCGAAGACTGCCGAAGGTGGTTTAGTCCCGCTTTCGTCCCAGAAAAATGTCGTTTGCTTCCCCGAACGAGCTTTTTTCCGATTCCGTCAAACTTTGGACAACCATAACTTTGTGCTCCAAAATCCAAACGACATGATTTTTTTTAGGCGAAATGAAAATAAGATTCATGACGTTCGGATTTTGGAGAACAAAGTTATGGTTGTTTAAAGTTATTGAGGATTTTTACTTTTTAGCATTCAAGGAGTAAAACTTTGTCAATATATTATTGTTTCAAGAGAAGAGTTATAGTTGAGTGTTGTAGATGTTGTGTTAAATTTAGTAAACTATTTATTATCTAGGTTCGAACCACCACTCCCACAACATGTTGCTTTTTTTAATCTCTAAAAAATAAAAAAAAATCGAATGGGATGGTGGGGATTCGAACACAGGACTTCTTGCAAATAATAAACAACTAAACTTATTGTGCCAAGACCACCTGTGACATTTATTTTGAAGAAAAAAAATATATATATTACAAACCGCATGGTGGGGGTGCGGTTTGCAACCAAACCGCCCCGGCCCCATGCGGTTTGCAAAACCGCACCCTACTAGTGCGATTTTCATCAAAAAACGCGCCCCCAGGTGGCAGTTTTCGCCTAAACCGCTAGTTCGGGTAGCGATTTTTGGGAAAGGGTGCTATTTTTGGAATTTTTCAAGGTTGGATGCTATTTTTGATTTTTTTTAAACAATGCTATTTCTGGAAAAATCCCAGTAAGTAGAAACATAAAAATCCACCATTTGGAGCTTGCAATTATAATAATTCGGTTTTTCGGTTCGGAAATTCGGTTCGATCGAGGACTGTGGTTTCCGAACTATGCTCTTTTCTCTTTCGAATTCCGAACCGAATAACATTAATTCGGTTTCGCTTCGGTTTTACCAAACCGTATGCCCTCCCCTACAAGCAACTACTAATCCACCAGATGCATCAATCTCATCAACAAAGAAACAATGAGACAAATCAAAACCTAACCCGCGCATACGACTGGACACTACTTTCTAGCTCGATCCTTTTTCCGAGAGAAAAAAAACACAAGATCCGGTTTATTGGAATGAACTAAACGGACAACAGTTTGGAATGTGAGGGATGGTCCAAGTTATCTAAAATTCCAGGCCAGAAGCCTCATTTAGTCGACGGGGGCCACTCAAGGCTGCCTTCCTCCACCTTTTCCACTTCATCACTTTCTTCCACAAATTGTTTTTTTTTTGTGTTAGGGTTTCAGCAATGTCACCATCCAGCTCTGCTAGCGCACGCTTCTTACTCCCAACTTCTCGATCAATTAAATTGGACCTATATTCATTGAGGCCCAGTTGATCATGAGCGTCCTCCATCCTCTCCTACTTCTCATGCATCGCCAGAGTCTTCCGTTTACTCCTGCCCTCATCCTGCATGACCATCCCAATTTCGAATGCCCGAACCACTTGGTGGACACGGCTTGGGTGCCCCTGTTGACGCAACTTATTCTTTCCAAGCGGAGCACGTTTTTTTTAGATCAAAAGGTGGATGTCATCCTCAGATAGAGTCATTCTGAATCCACTGGCTCAGAACGGGTATCACCCTTCTTCAACCCCTGTGCACTTCTGATTGGGCAATAGAAATGTCAAGCTCACCTTCAACATCATCTCCCTTTTTATGGGTTGAATTGGATACACTCGCCACTATTTTGGATGACTTGAGAGGCTACCGAGGCCTAGCTTTGGTACCCACCCTCTTCAGTTTGGAATCCGCCGCTAGAGTAGGTGGCATGCGACCCCTATCACCAACCCGCATATCATTTTTTTCAGAAGGTGAGTGCTCTCCCAACCGTTGACCTTTCTTCTTACTATCAGACGGTCTGTGGTAGGTAGAGCCGCCAGCAGCACGTGCATGCATGGGGACTTCATTCACGTGGAATTCATCCTCCGAATCCTCTTCGAGAATAAGACGGCGCCGAGGGGGATTCACCCAGCTCCTTGGTGAGGTGCGATGACTCCTCAGTAGAGCGAGGCGATCAATCTCCCCGGTATCCCCTACTGAGTCGATGCCCACGAAGAGCAACCTTCCCTTCGTTTTTGCCACCAGGCATAGAGCCATCTCGTCGAACTTCATATACAGTCGCACATTCCTTGTCCAAAATGATAGGTTTAGTGCCAGCCTCAGTCTTCGAATGGGCGAGTCGGCGCTGCCTCCCCAAGCTGATTTTGGGACCCTTCGAGACCGGAAAGCGAAAGGGGCTCTTCCCTTTATGGCATTGCGGTTCAACTTCCAAAAAGAGATTTTCAGAAGTTCCCATCCACAGCGGGTTGTCCTCAACAATAGGGTGCTTCATATTTCCATAATCACGCCTCATTGTATCATCCAAACAATTGGCGGCCGCATGATTAGTTCTCTTACTCTCCTGGAGCTCATTGTTAATCCAAACCGAGCTAGGAGGGTTGGGATAGAGTCGAGCTTCTTCGGCCTCATCATAAATTCTCCGACCAAGCTTCTTGGTCGACATGTGCGGACCAAACCTCTCTTTCCCCGAGGGAGGATCGAAAGTACAAGCCTGGCGGGAATGACCTACCCTTCCACACTGAAAGCAGAAGCTTGGTAGGTGTTCATATTTCAAACTAATCCAGAAACAGCCGGTCTCATCATTGGCAGCCATAATTTGAGATCGAAGCGGTTTGGAAAAATCAAGAAGCACCTTAACTTTGATGAACTACGTGTCGTGTCAGTACACGAGAACACACCTGCTTCTAGCACTCTTCCGAGAGTAGCATTAGCCACTTTCCGTCCGAACTGGTGGGTGCAACAATCTTCTTTTACATCCCGCAGTTGGACTCGGAATGGAGCTATCGCAAGCTCTTCATACGTTCGTTTGTTGATGGATGAGGTCCACGCCCGCAAGTGTAGGAGCTTGTCCCTGATCACCCACGGTGTTCAACTGAGCACCCACCGTTTAACATCCTCATTCGGGAGGACAAACTCGAAAAGACCATGTGCAATCAGCCTATCCTTGATGCGGATCTTTCCTTGTCAAGGATTGTCCACCGAATAATGCAGCTCCGTTGGTGAAACTCCATTATCAGTGAAGAGTCGACCCAGGAGAGTTCGGGACCGGCGCACCTTGTCGGACTAGATTTCCTCCAAAGTGAATTCCACGACCCGGTCTTTGGTGATGTCTGAGTTGACGTCTAGGATGTGAGCCACAAATGCCCGCAGCCCCCATGCAAGTATCAATCACTATGGATTGAGGTATTAGGCACGCAATTTCCTCTAACTCCGCCGACGAAGGAAAATGAAACACCCAGGCTTTCATTTTAGATAGTACGTGTAACTGGAGGAGCGTCAGATGCGATACCAGAATTCCAGGGCCATCCTGTTTTCCTTTTATGGATCCCATGATCGGGTCTATTAGTAGGACGATGCACCGGTTTATTTTCTCGAGTTCGCCATTTACCCATGATCACCGAATCCCTAGCCACCATGGAGGTATCAGGCAAACCTTTAACTATCGCATGAGTTCCATGTAGGTCATTATCTATGTCCCTAAGAATCACCATCAACATGAAACCCTTGTGTACCTTGATTAGCTAGGGTAGTGTTGAACACCGCCGCAAAGAAAGATAGAAGGAGATGTCCGGCAAGCCGGCAGAACTCCAGGAGAGAGGAGAGAGCTCCTCTCATATATTTTTTTCCCCAGGAAAACGCTGGCCTGGTCTCTTACTTTTAGCCAGATCAAAGAAGGTTACAAAGCTGAATTTAAGAAAACAGTCAAATGTAAGCTAAAAAATTGGAAGGTGAGGACCATGTCACAACTAGAGAAAGATGTTTTGATTAAAATCATGGCCCAAGCATAAGTCATATCCTATAATGATATTTTAGATTCCATATGGTATACTTGATGAGATTCATGACCATATTTCTAGTCTCTGGTGAGGGACTAATGTAGGGATAGCAATGGAGCGGGTTTGCCTAAACCATCCCCATCCCCGCTTTCAAATATCTATACCTATATCCGCCCCATACCCATGCGGGGGAAGGTTTTGCAAACCCATACCCATACCCATGGGTTTCGGGTACCCATGGGTAATACCCGCCCCGTACATCCAGCATTATAATACCGAATATTTACATGTAGATTTTCAATTATAACATTAAACGGACCTGCTATATCATGAAGCCGACAAAGAGAATCATTTTTAATACGATTCAAAACATTTTATCCTAAAGCGTCCATTAATCCATATCAGAGTAGAGTACAATGTCGTCCAAATCATTATTCTCTATACTAATACATCTATTAAGTAATAATTAACTAATATAATTTTGTTAAAAGGGGAAAAAGTGAAAGAGTGAAGGGAAAATTGAGAGAAAGAAGTTAGATTTTGATTTGGGTGGCCACTCAATTGCATTTCTACTATATATTTTTTTTAGCTATACTCACTATTATTGATAGGTTGCAAATTGATTCACATGTTTTTCATATATGAAGAAATATCTTTGGTGGGACGGGTATGGGTATGGCGCGGGGGATACCCGCCCCATACCCGGTCAATGCGGGAATTCCCCGCGTTGACTAGGTCGGGGACGGTCGGATACCCGTGGGCATGGGTTTGAGTGCCATCCCTAGACCAATGGGAGAGGAAAGAAACACTAACCATAAGCTTTAGTGTTTAATCAGTTAATTGACAATTAATGGTTACACGGCCAATAAAATGATCGTTTAACAGCCTTATAAGTATAGGTGTCAAAACATAGCCCGACCCGATTAACCCACCCGATCAACCCGACCCGCAACCCGAATTGACTAAAAGTCAACAACCCGTAACCCGCCCGACCCGCAACCCGATTGACCCGCAACCCAACTAACCCGCAACCCGACTGACCCGCAACCCGATTAACCCGAACCCGATTAATCCGAACCCGACTAACCCATAACCCGACCGACTCAACCCGAATTTCATCTAATCCACTTGAATAATTATAAAAATATACAATACATAGTTTTTCAAAATAAAGTTTTTCATTCTAAACTTAAGTAAAATTATTTTTTCATTTCGTGTAAGAAATTTAAAAAATATGAAACTCACTTGATATTACGTATGTTAAGAAAATTACCAAAATTGAAACATGAAGGTCACTTGAGATCATGACAATATTAATATAATATATAAATTAAAATTTTGGTTAATTTAACTATTCAATAAAATTATCAATTAAATATAAATAAAGTAAAGTAATGTATTTGGTAATTTGATGTTTTTAAAAGAAGAGGGAAATTTTGGTGTATTCAAGTTTTGGGAAGAGAAAAAAGAGGGAAATTTGGTTCTTTGAATTTTTTTAGAAAAGAAACAAGTGGGAATTTTTGTGGTTTTGATATGTGGGAAGAGAAAGAAGTGGGAAAGTTTGATTTTTTTTATTATGAAAGAGAAATAAGGAGGGAAACTTTTGACTTTTCAACTTTTTGTAGAAGGAAAGAAGAGGGTAATTTGTTTCTTTCAATTTTATGGAAGAGAAAGAGGAGGGAAAATTGAGTTTTTCTAATGTATGGAAGGAGAAAGAAGGAGGGAAATTTTAGTATTTTGTGAAAAGAAAGAAGGAAACAAATTTGGTGTTTTCAATTTTTTGGTTTTTCATAATTTTAGCTTTTGAAATATGAATCTTTAACTTTTATATGGAGGGCATGACTAGTTAAAATTATTCTTATATGCTTTGAAGGCTAATATGTATATATGTATGTAATTGTTTATGGGCTAATAAATGAATTAACCATTAGTTACAACAATTTATACTAAACTTGATAAGTAATCTTTGACGGTTCGTTGTTTAGGATATAAAGTATATGGTTAGGGTATAAGGTATAAGGTACATATGGTTTAGGGTGTATATGGTTAGGGTATAAGATTTTGATGGTTTTGACGGTTCTAAGTTTTTTATTAACATATGTTCACTTGAAGTCTTTAACGGCAGGAGATCCCTTTTTAATTTATGTTTATGGTACGTGGTTAGGGTACAAGGTATGTGGTGTAAAGTATAGGATATATGGTTAGGGTATAACAATTAGCAAATATCACTTTTTATCTATGTTTTGAAAATCAAAGTATGAATTTCACTTTTAAATTAACTATACTAGCAAAATCACAACTCAAGGACATATGATTAGGGTATAGGTTATGTGGCTAGTGTATAATGTATTGATGGTTTAGGGTATACAATCAACAACATATACTAACTTAATATTGTTGATTGAGGGTAAGGCTAAGTGTATAGGATATATGCTATTGAGTAAGTTATGATTGAAGTCACAATAATTTTACTAAATTTGATAGCTAATCTTTAATGATTCAATTTTTAGGATAATTCGAACAATTTTACAAATAACTCGTTTGGCAACAGTTTACTAGAGTTATTTGGGCAATGAGTTATTTTGAAATAACTCCTTTTATCACTATGCTTTTGCCAATTACCACACGCCAAATACCAGATTTGCATGGTTATACTAAACGAGATACTTTAATTCAATTACTACTGAATTAATAATAAAATATCAAATAAACAATTAACGGTGTCTTTTGGTTGCAAATATTGATATCACCATTACTATGAGCTATAATACTTTACCAATTATTATTAATTACATAACAAGTTTGCAAGTCATACAAATTGATTAAAAATTTTGACTAATTTTTTTCAAAAAAATGAAGTGTATATATACGAGGTAGAAATAAATTGGTTAAAAAGTTGAGAAAATATTTTAAATTAGTGTAATAAAATGTGTAAGTTGGTAATGAGTAATGAGTTAAGTTACTTGATGCGCTGGCCCGAACAACCCGAAACCCGACCCGCCCGACCCAAAACCTGATGAACCCGCAACCCGATTTGTCCCCAACCTGATTGAACCCGAACCCGATGAACCCGCAACCCGACTAACCCGCAACCCGTTTGAACCCGAACCCGATAAACCCGCAACCCGACTAACCCGCAACCCGTTTGAACCCGAACCCGATTGAACCCAGCCCGAACCCGCCCGATTGACACCTATACTTATAAGTGTGAGTTAGACACTAATCGTACATCAAATCCTCTAAAAGTGGACATGCATTTTTTGGTCCGAAAAGCTTTCCTAGTCAAACAAGGACTCTAACACGATTTATCATTCCCATACGAATTAAAGTCTCCTTGTAGAGGTCGGAAAAAGCAAAGCTAACATAACCCACTTCCTTCTCGAACAAGAAATATCGTTAGGTAGGCAAGATCTGGAAACAGGGAAAGAAAGAAAAGCATATTCCTTTCAGGACAAGGAATTACTTATACGACAATAAAGCTTAAACATGACATAAAGCTTGAGGGTCGAAGAAAAAAGCATTAACCAAAGTCAATTCCTTTAATTGGTCTGTCGCCACACCACCAGCACACGAGCAAGACGACAGTCAATGGCTGAACCAGAGCAGCAGCAACAGCAGCATGAGGAGCCAGATCAGAACCATGAAGATGAACTGCCCACAATGCGGGAGTCTGCCGCGCCAGCTCTACGACCAGAACCATGGCTGGTTTACCTCCATGGTAAGAAGAACAAGAAGTCACTAATCTACAGCTTGTCAGAACGACGCCACCATGTCAAGCACATACCTGAAATACGAAATCATCGAATCTTCACCACTTCTCATGGTTGGTTTTTTCTCTATGCTTGGGATGGTGATTGCTTGCTGCTAAACCCAGTCACCATGGAGAAGATCCCGTTACCCAATTGGTCCAAATACCACTTGAAGCCTGCCAACTGTGTCCTTTCTTCTCCTCCACATGATCCTAGCTGTGTTTTTATGTTCCAATCACGTATGAGGGGGACGAGTTTGCTATACTGCAAGCCTGGGGATGAGGATTGGACGACACTAGTAGTACCTACCGAGATGTAGTATTTGTCGCATAGGTTCCTGGCTGCATTTTCCAGGATGCGCTGCCCTCAACGGCGAGGTTTATGCACGGACACGTTGCTGCAAAAGGCTATGGAAGTTTCAGTTCAATCGAGACATGAATGGCTGCCAGATGAAATTATTTGATTTGAAAGTCAGAGAACAATACCCTACTTTGGGTCAGTACTACACTAGGAGCCATGCACATTGTGACAAGTTCTTGGTTCAGTGCTCAGATAGCGAGCTTATGATTGTTGAGCTATACTACGGGTACAAAAAAAGGTTCATACGGGATTCTCATGTCAGAGACATTGGTTGCAAGAGGATTGTGTTATACAAGGTGAATTTACAGGACCAAGTATGTCAAAGGATGGAAAGTTTACCTGAAGATTGTGCCATCTTCTTAAGCTACCCAGAGAATGGATTCTTCTACAAAATTCCACGGGAAGATCTAAATTCAGGACTTGTTCGCGGGAACACCGTTTATTTCTCTGAAAAGAATGACAAGCGTCTTTATGCATATGATGTTAAAGAGGGAAGTGTAAGTGTGTCACTACCTTGCCCCAACATGGGAATTGACTATTATGAGCCACAATGGATCCAGTTGCCTCTTCATAGCTGGACTTCAGCAGATGTTCCCCAACCAGAAGTAACGATTGATAGCAAGCAGATTATGTTACCATCAGGAAGTAGCAGTGCTCGTGGTGGTTGGAACGACGTTCCTACTGACCTTCTTTGTGACATACAGTCGTGTCTATTTGGAGCTGATCGCTGTTACTTTCGTCTAGCCTGCAAAGCATGGAAATCATCATTCTCTAACTCTAACTGTGAATCTGATCTTCAATTGGGGAAAGTGCAGAGAAATCATCGATTCCCAATCCTCATGCACATAGGAAACAACAGTGAGCTAGTCAAGTTCTTCGATCCAATAACCAATTCTACCAGCACCTTGCCTTTACCCAGTTTAAAAGCTACAGAACCAATCATTCGTTGCTCTAAACATGGATGGTTGTTGATATCCCAAGGAATTTCAGGTCATCGACAACTATTCTTTCTCAACCCTTTCACTAACGAAAGGATTGACTTACCTAATGTGCGATTTCTTCAAGATGGGATTTCTTTCTCTTCTCCTCCAACATCCTCCGACTGCATGGTAATTTGCTACGCAGTCTTTCCGGCATATGTGACCCTCTACTCTATTCGTCGAGGAAATTACAGCTGGGCTTACTCATCTGCGGAGAAGAAAGGAATTCATTTCAAGAGTTCTTACAGCAATCCAGTTTACCACCAAGGACTATTCTATATCATGGGAATAAATGGAAATCTATGCATTCACGATCCAGGACCAAGACATTCCACCAAGTTCATGAGCTTGCCCAGAAGGCCTTGTGCGTCAATAAGAAGAGGCCATTTGTTGGAGTCCAGAGGGAAACTTCTATCAGTGTCCACGGGTCCTGTCACGACCTTACTCTCGATCGTGCGGCCCTAGCTCTCAATTCCGTTAGAGCGCTAGGCAGCCTTTCTCTCAACTCACTTGAAAGCAAAGAACAAGAACAAAGACAAAGGAAGTGGGAGAACTCTCTAGTGTGTATTACTCTCAAAAATGATGGAATGAGTTACAAGTGAGGGAGATGGCTCCTTATATAGGCCTCTCCACATACAAGGCATCAATGCCCCCTCATAATGGTCCCTCTACATCAATACACCCCATAAAGTCCCCCCCATAATGCACCCTAATAATGCTACCCATAATGTAGCCCATAAGTGCACCATTAAGCTCTCATTTAGGTGGAGAATCCTAGGAGCATCTCTATGCTACTAGTCTTCCATGCATGCCACATGTGCTGCTGCCATGTTGTCACCTTGTTGGCGCCATGTCATCTGCCACATGTGACATCCTCCCCCACCTATGCTCGCGACGCCCTCGTCGCGTCCTCTTGATGGAATGCCTCGATCAAGTCCTTGTTCTTCCAAAGCGTGAGCTCTTTCTCCCATGTTGCTTCACTCTCCGGAAGGTTGCGCCACTTGACCAAGTACTCCACAAAGCTTGGATGTACGCCGCGACGAGGAATGACACGACGTGCCATGATTTCTTCGACTTCATGGTCGTGTGTCTTGGTGACGAGTGTTGGTGCGCGCTGCGGCTCCCTTCGCTGCTCGTCCTCCTTGTCTTCGTGGTAAGGTTTGAGTTGGCTCACATGAAAGACCGGATGGATCTCCAAGTGCGTCGGCAGCTCTACCTTGTATACCACATTGCCAATCCTCTTCACGATGGGGAATGGCCCTTCATAGCGGCGAAGCAGTCCCTTGTGCACGTTCTTGAGATGCTTGAAGCGATGAGGGTAGAACTTGACCATCACCATGTCTCCCTCTTCAAACTCCAAGTGCCGCCGCTTCTTGTCCGCCCATTTCTTCATCTTCTTACTAGCGCGGGCTAAGTAAGACTTGGCCATCTCCATCTTCTCGTGCCAACCTTTAGCGAACTTGTAAGCCGCCGGACTGTTGCCTCTATACCCCGTTGCCACCGTCGTAGGTGTCAAAGGTTGCTGCCTCGTCGCCAACTCGAATGGACTTGTGTTGGTCGACTCGCTGCGGTGTAAGTTGTAGGAGAACTGTGCCGTATCCATCAACTTCACCCAATCTCGCTGGTTTGCACTCACGTAGTGCCGCAAGTACACTTCCAACAAGGCATTCACCCGCTCCGTCTGTCCGTCGCTTTGAGGATGAAATGCCGTCGAGAAGTTCAAGTTTGAGCCCATGATCTTGAACAACTCTCTCCAAAATCTGCCCGTGAAGCGCCCATCTCTGTCGCTCACGATGCTGCTAGGAATGCCCCAATACTTGACCACGTTCTTGAAGAATAGCCGTGCCGCATCCTCCGCCGTTAAGTCTTTTGGCCCAGGAATGAACACTCCATACTTCGAGAATCTGTCCACCACAACCATGATGCAACCGCATCCATCGACTTTGGGAAGTCCGATGATGAAGTCCATGCTCACACTCTCCCATGGTCGTTGAGGCGTGGGCAAGGGCTCTAGCAAGCCTGCCGGGCTTCTCTGCTCCATCTTGTCTTGTTGGCACACAAGACAAGTCTTCACATACATCTCCACGTCGTCTCTCATACGCGGCCAGAAATATGCTTCTTCGATGAGCGCTTGCGTTCTCTCGATGCCGGGATGGCCCGCCCACTTGGAATCATGGCACTCCTTCATGATCTCCTTCCTCAAGTTGGCCCATCTTGGCACGAACATCCGCTCTCCCTTGGTCATGATGAGCCCATCCTTCATCCAAAACCGCCGAGTTTTACCTTGCTCGATGTACTCTGCTACGGTTTTGGCGAAGGGGTCATGGCCAAGGCCTTCAACGATCCGCTCCTTCAAAGGAAACGTGGGCTGGCTGATGCTTGCGGCTGCACTCTTGCGGCTAAGAGCATCGGCAACGGAATTCGCCTTGCCTGGATTGTACTCCATAACGAAGTCGAACTCGGCCAAAAAGTCTTGCCACCTCGCTTGCTTAGGGGTGAGCTTCTTCTGCGTAAGAAAGTAGCTTGTTGCCACGTTGTCCGTCTTCACTACGAACTTTGACCCCAACAAGTAGTGCCTCCATGTGCGCAAGCAATGCACCACGGCCGTCATCTCCTTCTCTTGAACGGTGTATCGCCTCTCCGTCTCGCTGAGCTTCCGACTCTCGAAGGCAATGGGATGCCCATCTTGCATCAACACGCCCCCGATTGCAAAGTCAGATGCATCGGTCTGCACTTCATAGGCCAACGTCGGGTTGGGGAGCACGAGCACGGGCTCCTTCATCACCGCTGCTTTCAAGGCCTCGAACGCTTCTTGGCACCTTTCCGACCAATCCCACGCCTTGTTCTTCTTCAAGAGATCCGTCAAGGGTGCTGCAATGTTGGAGTAGCCCTTGATAAACCTCCGATAGTAGTTGGCAAGGCCGAGGAATGACCGCAACTCTGGCACCTTCGTCGGCGGCTCCCATTCTTGGATTGCCTGCACCTTCGCTCCATCCATCTTCAACTTGCCTCCACCAATGACGTGCCCCAAGAATGGAACCTCCGTGGCGGCAAATGTGCACTTCTCCCTCTTGACGTACAACTCGTTGTCGCGAAGGACTTGGAAGACTTGGCGTAGATGCTTGGCATGCTCATCGAGTGTTTTGCTATACACGACGATGTCATCCAAGTAGACCACGACAAACCGGTCCAAGAATGGCTCGAACACTTGATTCATCAAAGTGCAAAACGTGGCTGGTGCGTTGGTGAGACCGAATGGCATCACAAGAAACTCGTAAGAGCCGTACCTCGTCACACAAGCCGTCTTTGGCTCGTCGCCCTCTGCTATCCGCACTTGATAGTAGCCCGAGCGAAGATCTAGCTTGGTGAACCACATTGCATCTCCAAGCTGGTCGAACAAGTCGGCAATGTTGGGAATCGGCCACTTGTTCTTCACTGTCAACTTGTTGATGGCTCTATAGTCGATGCACATCCGCAACGACCCTTCCTTCTTCTTTTGGAACAGCACCGGTGCTCCAAAAGGTGACTTCGATGGCCGCATGTAGCCTGCGTCCACCAAGTCCTTGAGTTGCCTCCGCAATTCTTCTAACTCCGGTGGCGACATGCGGTATGGTGCTCGCGAAGGGGGCTTCGCTCCTGGCTCCAACTCGATCTTGTGGTCCACCTCCCTTCTTGGTGGCAGCTTCTTGGGCAACTCCGATGGCATCACATCATCGAACTCTTCGAGGACACCTTCGATGATGGGAGTTGTGATTCCCGTTGAGCCTTCTTCTTCCTCCATCTTCAAGGACACAAGAAAGGTTGGTTCATTCTTCTTGAACCCCTTCACCACTTGCATGGCCGATAGAGCACTATGGGGACCATCTTCTCTCAAGAGATGAACAGCATGGAACTCCCCTTCCTTCTCCAAGCACATCGTGTTGGAGTTGGGCTTCAAAAGCACTCCCTCCTTGTCGAGGAAGTGGATGCCGAGGATGACTGGGTGATCGTCCATGGTGACGACGGAAAAGTCGATGAGGCCTTCCCACTCGCCAAGCTTCATTGGTACGTTGTGAGCAACTCCATGGATCGGGATGGACTCCGAATTGATCGTCTTGAGCCTCCCTTGCCCCTTCTCGTAGGCAATACCCAGCCGGTTTGCCTCCTCGACGCGAAGAAAGTTGTCTGTGGCACCGGTATCCACCAAGGCTTTTGACTCGCCTTGCATGAATTGCGCCAGAACATAGCACCTCCCCCGCTTGCTCTCCTTGACGTCGGTCTTCACCGCGCCAAGCTTGCGGATTGAGCCAATCTTGGCCTCCGCCGCCTTGGGCTCCTCATCTTGAGCTTCCATGGCCGCTAATCTCGCCTTCCTTGGGCAATCTCGTACTCGATGTGGTCCGTCGCAAAGGAAGCAAGTCATGGGTTTTGGCTCGTACTTACCCCCTTTGCTCGAACCACCTTGGTGTTGTTGAGTGCGAGAACCCTCCTTGAAAGGCTTCTGCTGTTCTCCACCTTTGTTGGGCTTCGAACTCTTCTCTCTGCCGCTGCTCTCTTGTCGTTTGTACTCGACAAAAGACTCCGCCGTGGCCATGGCAGTTGCAAGGTCTTGCACTCCTCGACGTTGCATCTCCATCTTGGCCCATGGTTGCAGCCCATCAAGAAAGCCGTGCATGGCCTCCTTGTCCGTGATGTCCGGGATCTCTAGAAGCAGCTCCGAGAATTCTTTCACGTATTCTCGAACTCCACCCCTCTGGGTGAGTCTTCTCAACTTCGAACGGGCTTCAAACTCCACGTTCTCTGGGTAGAACTGCTTCTTGATTTCTCTCTTGAAATCTTCCCACGTTACCATCACACAAGTACCTTTCTCGACGTCCGCTTCACGTCGCCTCCACCACACCATGGCAACATCAACCAAGTAAAGTGGAGCGGTACGAATCTTTATCTCATCCTCTTGGATGCCGGACGCCTTGAAGTACTGCTCAAGACTCCAAAGGAAGTTCTCTAACTCCCTCGCATTCCGTGAACCTCCGAAGCTCTTCGGTCTTGGAATATCAGCACGTGGGACGGATTGCACCGTGGCTGGTCCGCTAGCCATGGCTCTCTTCACGAGAGTGACCTCACTCTTGAGATCTGCAATCTCCTCCTTCACGCCGACCAGCTCAGCCTGGACTTGCTCTTTCACAACTCCGATAGCGTTGTTCAAGGATGTGGTGATGGTGTTGTTGATGAGGGCCACAAGCTCTTCTCGTAAGCCATCACTACCAATCTCCAAGCTCGACAAACGAGCATTCATACCTTGAAAATCGCTTTCGACTTGGGTGAAGTTTGCTCCCAGATCCTCGATGGCGCTGATGTCTTCCGCCAACTTCACCTCCATTCTAGAGACACGCCTCTCTAGAGACGTCATAGGATCACGAGTGCTTGACTTCTCACCCTTTGGTTTGGTATTCTTCACGGCATCCCTTCCACGATGCTTCTCATCGTCGTGAACTTCTGATCCCGACATTTTTGGTGAGGTTCTTCCTTTCCTTCTGGCTCTAGGTTCAACTTTGCTAGCACAAAGCCGAACCAGGCTCTGATACCACTTGTCACGACCTTACTCTCGATCGTGCGGCCCTAGCTCTCAATTCCGTTAGAGCGCTAGGCAGCCTTTCTCTCAACTCACTTGAAAGCAAAGAACAAGAACAAAGACAAAGGAAGTGGGAGAACTCTCTAGTGTGTATTACTCTCAAAAATGATGGAATGAGTTACAAGTGAGGGAGATGGCTCCTTATATAGGCCTCTCCACATACAAGGCATCAATGCCCCCTCATAATGGTCCCTCTACATCAATACACCCCATAAAGTCCCCCCCATAATGCACCCTAATAATGCTACCCATAATGTAGCCCATAAGTGCACCATTAAGCTCTCATTTAGGTGGAGAATCCTAGGAGCATCTCTATGCTACTAGTCTTCCATGCATGCCACATGTGCTGCTGCCATGTTGTCACCTTGTTGGCGCCATGTCATCTGCCACATGTGACAGTCCCATGGGGAGGTTTCTGCGGGTATTTGAGCTGAAACAAACAACCATGGCTTGGAAAGAACTCCACAATATAGAAGACACGATGCTGTTTCTGAGCTCTACTTCTTTGTTTTCTGCAACAAGCAGTGGAGTGGAGATTTCAGGGTTGGGAACAAGGTGTTTCTGGACAGGTTTAGTGGGAGAGATGGCATGTTCTACTCTCTGGCGACAAGAAAATTTCATACCTTTTGGAGCGGACACAACAGTAGTGACTGGAGTGACACGAAGGAATACACGTATAGCACTTGGATTGAACCGAACTGGGAGAAGCACAACGAAAAGGAGCTCCAATGGTTCACGTGGTAGAGACAGAGAATGGGCAATCACATACCCATACACACTCCTTGTTATTAGTTTAAGCATTGTGACTTACGACTTAGCCTCCATTCTCCTTTCTATAACACTAATTTACGTTTCCGTTAATTCAGACCAACGAGATATATAAGAAAACTGTCATACCCAAACCAATTGTGATCATAAGTTAAAAACCAGCTGCAATTCTGCCAATGACAATAAGATAAAGCCAGTCTGTGGCACATTGAAAAACCACCACCGGCGTTCACTTCTCATCTAAAACTTGCAGGCCAGTCGTTAGACACGGCCTGAAAAAATGCCAACTTGAATCATGAAAAGCTGCAAAATAGTCTTCCGACACAGTACTCAGCACAAACTCGTCGGTGATATTTTCAACAGCCAAAATGTGATTTGAATCAACCACTATCAGGTTCTTGAACGAAGCATACTGCCGATACAGCTGGAAGCTGTTACCAAACAGCACAACTCGATTCATTGCCTCCACATCCCAGTTCGCCTTCAGAAGGTTGTTGTACAGACCTGCTTCACAATGTGGCATGAAGAACAAAGTCGGGCTTGTTGCTCGACGTCGACCTTGCTCGTTTACAGAGAGAACAGTGCAGCCGAGAGCTTCGAGAACTTGACACTCGGTTGCAGAAAGGATTGGATCGAACACTTGCAAATCCCCGATCCAACTGAACTCTCGCTTTATCAAGAGGGCAATGCTGAGTTGCAGACGAGGGGTTTCGTGCGACTCGATGCTGCCAATACCATATACCACCATCTGCATCTTCTTCTGTTCTGAACCCTCGAGAACCTTGTGAAAATGGTCCATGACTTGTTGGGTTTGCATCTGTTCCACAAACTTCTGATAGAAAACAGAGTTCTCCACTCTCTTCATACAGCCAACAATCTTCAGTTCCAACTTCGATCGCCTGTCCTCGCTGGACTCGATATCAGATGGAGTCCATGATACTATCATCCCTCCTTGTTTCTCCAGAGATCCAATTTTAGGTAACTTTCTACTGCGTCTTTTGCCACGAGGCAAGACTATTGTCCATCCATCGTGGCTCTCAGCACGCTTGTCAAGCGTAAGAACTTCAGCAGATGCAGCCATTATATAGCTCTCGATGGCAAACAAACTCTTCACAAGAAGAAACCCCTTCAACTTCTAAAACCAGTAGTATATTGTCCCAAAAGCTGAAACAAGAAAACAATTTATCAATAGTGACATCGAGATGGGTATTCTTCAATGGCTAATTTCATAGCCAAATAGCTCTACAAAGTTAACAAATTTATCATCCTCCCCCGTTTTGAGAAATACAGATTCAAGCATTGCGAAGAGGTCTGATAGAGGGCAAGCCCTATATTTGGATCATTCAACATCAATTGCGTGCTTGGTCTATTCTGTAGAATGTCAAAAAGTATGTACTTGTGGAGTTGTGGTGGACTAAACTCACCTGGGCAGCGGAGAGACAAGAGGGAATACACCGGCGGCGGGGACTGAGATAAATTCAGAGAACTAAAGTGAAATCCAGGTACAACTACCAACCAGCGCAGATCCCATCCGCCTCCCAATCCTCCTCGTCTGGACGCGAATTTCAACGTTCGCTTGATTTGAGAATTTCGGATTGGCGAGGCTTGATGGAGCGCGAGGTGTCTACATTGACGGCGGGGACGATAACTGTCCGTGAAGGCGCTAGCTGGCTTCAGCTACGGCCGGGCTGTCGAAGCAGACTTCTTGCCTGTCTCGCTGCGATTGGGAGCGAGTGAGACCGGAGAGAGATGGATTTAAAAGCCAGAAAAAACAACGATGAACTGAAACCAAAAAATCTCTCTATTTCTTTGAACCAAAAAAAAAAAAAAAAAAAAACCTCTCTAGTTCTACACGGCAATTGTGTATTGGGTGAGAGACTTGAGCAGAGTTGTCACGCCGGCCGGCGTGCCACCGGTTGTACCTGGTTCAACCCGTACCGGTCATAAAACCGACATGACACCACCTGTATGACCGGCATGATCGATATACGAATCTCCAAGTAAAATAACCTTATTTTAGTGACTTTAATTGTTAAAAATTATTTTATTATTTATTGTATGAGTATAAATGTTAAATAGTGATGTTATTTGTTGGATTCAAGTATAAATGTTTAGGTATTGACGTTAAATGTCATGTTTAAAATGAGTATTTATAATTTTATTTGTAATATTGACCGGCATGAACAGGCACAAACCGGTTTGTGCCACCGGTCAAACCATTTCACTTGCTAAACCGGCACACTGGCATAAACTGGTTTGACACTTGAGAGTGTCAACTTTATAATAAATCTTTAATTTGTAGAATGCGTCAAACCGTCAACGGTGGTGGTTTGATTTTTATGATGAATCAATTGTTGTTTTAGGGTTTGCCGGTTTGGTAAATTTTTGTTTTTTAGGGTTAATAATTGGGCATTGTTATTCGTCGCCCTAAAATACCTTATTCGTCGTCCTAACTTTTATTAAAATTACTTAAATATCCTTAAGTTAATTCTTATCTTTCAAAACATATATAAACACTAAAACAAAGTAACAAACACATACAACTATGTTTAATAACAAAATAAAATAGCGAAATTAATGAATTACAAGTTACAAATACACCAAAATAATAAAAAAATGGAATAAATGTAAATAACTCAGGCACGTTCGTACTCGCCGCTAGAAGCGCCGGAGATGGGTTTTCAACCCTTCCGGGCGGCTGGAAACAAAAAAAAAAACTCTCTGCTCGGCAAGTGCGAGGCGAGACAGAAGATGAAGATCGAGCCGAGGAGAAAGGAGAAGTTTGAGTCTGCCTTCGCTCGTCGTCGGCACCGAAGAAGAAGTTCGCTCGTCGTAGCCGCCAACCTCTACTTTCGTTCTCTGCCCAGCCGTAATTTGCTTCCGACGTCACCCATCTTCGTTGCCGCCCGATTTACCATGGGAACGGACATGCTGCGAGGGTTGAGGTTGGTGGCGGCTGCCGGAGAGAAGAATCCACAGCGACAGCGGCGGGGTTGAGGTTGGCAATGTCTGGGCAGGGTAACGGATTGTTTGATTAGGGTTTTGGTTAGAGATTGGGGTTAGAGGGTAAGATTGTCAATTTGATGTATTTTAGGGCGACAAATATTGAATTTTAGGGCGACGAATAGCAATCCAGTAATAATTAACATAACATTTCAGGCAAATCTCATTTCATGCATAAAGTACTGTAATATCCACCCAAGTCGCCAAGACAAAATCTGTGATGGTTTGATGCAACAAGACATAAATTTTTAATTTGTAGTATGCGTCACCAAGACAAAATCTGTGATGATTTGACGCATACTACAAATTAAAGAGAGAAGTGTAAGTGTGTCACCATAATATCCACCCCAAGTCGCCAAGACAAAATCTGTGAGGATCTGGCCTAAAGCAGACAATATTTTGTCGAGAAAATATTCAAGATGTTACGCTTAATATCTATGGTCCGAACTATATGTTAATAAATTAATTTGGCTAAAATTTTCTAAAAACATTCGTTCGGTTCCGAACTTTATACTATTTGGACTACTTCTGTATAACTCATTGGTTGATCTTCAAGTTGTGTAGTCAACACCATTAACTAATAGTCAACATGTCATGTCATCAATAAAATCATAAAAAAATCAAAATTCAAAATGGAAAAAATGGAAAATTTTCCCTTAACATCTTATATTTACATTTAATTTTGAAAATAACAGAATTAAAAACATAAATAAAGGATGTCAAAACTTAGGTAACTAGAACCTGGAGCGGGAGCGGAAGCGAGAGCATCAAAACGTCGATTTTTCAGTAGTTCTATTATGAGAGCGTGAACGGAATGTTAATATTATATTATTTAATAAATAATGTATTATTTAATAAATAATGTATTATCTCTATAAAGTATTTTTATTCTTTAGAGCCCAGCTATATATATTGAAGAGAGAAAGAAACACCTATAACTAATAAATTATTAATATTAACTAGCTTTTACCCGATCCGTTAGTTAGCTGAATTTTATTTTATTTTTTATTATTTATGTTTATTAATTTATTTATATTTTAATTATGTAAGGATCATTTATATATATTATACGTGATTTGAAAGTAATACTTGTGGTACTCATTATTGGTTCATTCGTATTTTTGTTGATATGCTCATCCTAACTTAATGTTTTATATATTTTTTCATATTTTTTTAAAAAAATTACATTTCTTATTGTAACAATAAAAGGGTTGAGAAGTATTTAGTCGTAAGATTCCTTATCATTAACTTAATTTTCTATTATCTCCAAACCAAACCAAGACAATTCTGGATGGAAGTAACTGGAAACAAAAATGCAAGACCATTGATGAAGAATCGAATCACAATATTCAACAATACAATCAGAGTTTGATAAATCGTAGGACTTATGCCATTGCTCAATCATCAGAACAACCCAACAAAAAAAATAAAGCTTGAAAAACAGGCTATGCACTGCGAAAGAAGTTCTTAACGTCCTTGTGCCTAAACCCTCCAATTCTTGGATATACATCAAAGGAGTGAAGGACACAAAAGAGGAAAGCACTTTCAGTTATGAACAAAAAGGAAGTTATGGCAATGGAAAGAGAAGCAAACTCATACGAATTGAACGTTTCAAATCAGTTATATCAACCTCTGACTCAAGCGCTAAACCACCCGATCTATTTAGAGATAACAGTGCATAAAGAGAAAATTGCCAATCAAAATCATCAATATACATTCCGAAAAACATATAAAAACATGCAACACCAATCAATATATCTCCAAAAGGCAATCATAACTACAAATCTACAATAATTAGCTAGTAAGAAGCGGAGCTGACAATCCTACAGAGAATGGGTGGATACATAGTTCATGTAGTTATTTTTCTAGTGGAGAATTTTACTTGCAAAATGCACACAATCACTTTGATCAAAATGTTAAACGCATGGATGACTCAAAATCTTCAAAAGTAAAAAGGAAAATGAATGTCCACATGGAAACCCTCTCAAATCCGAGTCTTCTGCAGCTGCAAGGATGTGAAGAAAGGATAACTAAATAGCCTCTAAGCTAGAGATAGAAATCATATTCTCTAAAATTGACAAACAACATCTTATTCTGACCTGCCAGATGCTCGCACCATCATTCAAAATATCAAATTGTATAAATTTCTGAAAGGAAATCAAAACAAAATATACAGCAAAAAAACATGTTGTTCTGACCTGCCAGGTCCTCGGACCATTAATGTTCTTAGCGTGTTGATTCTATCAACTAATTTCAACCAATAAATCCAAAGCGCCAGAAAATTGAATGTTATAAGAACAAACTAAAGAAATTTGAAGCCTCAGCAATGAATGTTAGCCAGTGTGTTGTACTTATCTGAGCAACATAAAAGGGTCGTGCTAATGAAGTTGGTGTATAAATACTTCAATCGAAGAGCCAAAAGCACAGGGATATTAATAACCTCAAATCCAACCTCCTTCCTTTTTATCACCTGTTTTCGTAGAGGATGAGTAGAGAGATTTCTTATCAGTCGAAGAGTTCAACAATCTTGTTATACATGAAAAGCAAGATAGCAAATTATTAATAAGTAAACAACATGAAATAAAAGAACAAAAGGAAGCAAAATTAATTTCTCCCCATAAACGTATCGTCTTAAAGGGCAGGCCAAGAGAATTGAAATGAGAAACATGAATTTCTGATTCACGGAGGCAGACAAATCCATAAAAGTAATTGCAAGCTAGCACATATAGTATGGAAATGAAACCCTATTGAGAATAACCTATTCTCACATGTGTTCTACATAATCTGATTTACCTTGCTGACCGTTGAAAATGGAGAACGCACCCACCATAGATAGCGAGTTGGATCATGCAATGAACTAAGATCCATTGAAAAGAGAGGAAGAGACCAGTATGGGAGAACAAGAAAATTGACTGAGGAAGGAAAGATAAAACAGAGACGTTAAGTACTTGAGGATTGCAAGGAATTCCACCAAGCACATAACCAAAACTTCATTATGTAATAATTTATAACATTCCAACTCATATTTTTGTACGATTTTGTGTGGACGTCTGAGGATAGCCTGATAAATTCCTCTGTACAGTCCTTCACGAATCCAATGATCGAATGAACTCATGATACCACATCAATTTCCATACCATCATCACATTAAAAAGGTATGGAACTCCTATGATCAAAAGGGTCTTCTACAAAAGTGCCAAACATAAAATATGGGTCAATTGCAAGTTTGGTCACTTGAATTACTAGTAAATTTCACGTTAGCCACTAGAATTACTTTATTCCATCTGTAGTCACTTAGATTAGATTAGGAGTTCAAGTTTGGTCACTGGCCGTTAGTCTCCGTTAACTTTTGCTGATGTGGCGGTCAACTCTTATAGTTGACCGTTACATGAGTGACGTGACAATTAGAAAAATAATAAAATAATTTTATTTAATTTTAATAATTCCACCTCATTATTAAAATAAATAAATAATTAGAAAAAAGGTCCCAAACAACGGAAGCGGCAGAGGATCGAAAAATTCAAACAGCAACAACATAATTCTGCAGGTATTCGATCCCTATGGTTGCATCCACATTCCACTGGAGAGATGGGTTGTGTGAATTCGAAGCAGCACAACATGCGATGCAAGCACTGCCAAGCTCCGTATTCCCGTGTCCAGAAGCTATTCGATGCACGTAATCCACCCTCCCCAGCACAAATCCGACAGCTACCATCTGGTAGCCCTCACTTCCTCCACTCTCGGCTCTCTGAAGCTCGAGTCGGTGAAAGACGGAGGGTTCGATTCTCCCAATGGCACCACCACAGCCACCGGCATCAACAATGGAGATTGGTTGTCGGAGATGAAGAAGAGCAGAGAAGAGTTCGCAATGGGGTTAAGCGAAGCCAAGACCTGGTCCAAAATGATCGAGGAGAAGATCCCACGATTCCCCAATCATCATCCCAAAACCCCGATCATGACTCCACCGGGAGAGTTAGAGACGATCAAGACCTGTGAATTAATGGAAGGCTTGGAAGAAGATCGTTTCACCAACCCTTGCAGATTTGCCAACCACATTAGAAGCTTCTCGTTCAATGTCACCCGCGATGCCACAAACATCATCGTCAATAGCCCCAAACTAAGTTTGAGCCACCAGGTAAACGCCACTCATTTTAAAGTCGGATCAATCGAAGAAACGGAAGCAGAAGCAGAAGAGGAAGAAGCAATTGATAAGAAGCCGCATTCGGGAAAATGTGGGAAGGACTACTTCGACCCGAACATCATCTCGATTTTCAGGAAGTCACTATGGGAGCTCTCGCCAAGCCACCCTTACCATTTGAAGAAGCCGGCGAAAGATATACGAGGACAGTTGCTACTTGAGGGTGATCCTGAAAGGAGTAGGCGTCAGGGTTGACGAATGAGATGTATCGCGACTTCTTTGCCGTCGGCGAGCTTGCCTCTGTAAACGATGTCGTAGCTACCGGCGCCGATCTTGTTCTCCGATGCGAACTCGTCGGTGGCGGCTGCGAGATCGGAGAGAGTGAATTCTTGGGCTCTGCGTGTTTGGATGAGGTCTTGCTCCGCAGACATCTCATTGCTTTCGAGCTCTGCCGCCGGATGGTTGACGATCTGGAGGTGATGGTGGTGATTCCGCCGCCGCAGTTGTTTGATTGTTCGATCCTCTGCCATTGTCGTTGTTTATGACTTTTTGTTTTAATTATTTTTTTTATAATAATGAGGTGGAAATTATTAAAAATTAAATTAAATTATTTTATTATTTTTCTAATTGCCACATCACTCATTTAACAGTCAACTATAAGAGTTGACCGCCACATCAGCAAAAGTTAACGGAGACTAACGGCCAGTGACCAAACTTGAACTCCTAACCCAATCTAAGTGACTACGGATGGCATAAAGTAATTCTAATAGCTAACGTGAACTTTACTAGTAATTCAAGTGACCAAACTTGCAATTTAGCCCATAAAATATTAAACTTGGAGAGTACTTTCAATGTCTGCAGTTGTTCTTTGTCATTAGCGAAATCACATACCATCTCTCAATATCACCAGTCTCACTCCACAAAAGCCTAACGCAGACTTTCCAATTTTATATACAACCCATTAGTTCTAAATATCTCATTATCAACACAAAGAAATGCAAGTCGAGCAATTTTCATGGAGAAATACCAGAACGTTCAAGGTGGTTCTTCTTACTACTTCAAAGGCATGTAGAGCATCATCAATTCATCACCATCTTGTTGCTTAGAGCAAGTTTTAGATGAAGATTTCTTAGCAATTGTTATCTGCATCAATATATTACTACAATTACCTTTAGTTGCGCAGAGATAAAAAAAACAAACCTTCCACGCAGTAAAAATAACAATTATGCAACTCTTCCTCTCTATGAGTAACACAATCTTCTTGGTCCAGGCAATTTTCCCCCCTGAACCATAAATTTGGCCTGAATTTGCTAAAAGTTGTTTGTCTTGTTAGATACAACATAAGAACAATAAAATACATGCATTGTAGATAGTTTAATACTAAAAATGGAACAACACACTATTCTCTTGCAAGAACTGTCCTGTAATGACATTGACAAAGAAAAAAATATTGGTTCTAAGACTCTGCTTAGTTCGTTATATATACAAATGACACGAATTGAAGTTCGACCAAACCAAAATTCCAATCTCAGGCTTAACTTCTTATCGAAATAAGAACAAAACTTTACCAATTAATAAGCACTCAAGAAAGCTGGCAACAATGGGGATTGATGTTGCAACTTGTCACCATGGTCGGTTTCCATGACTGAATTAGACAAAAGCTTAATGGCCTACAACTGAAATTCTATCCTCCACAAAACAACTCAATATTATAGGCTCGATAACAACTCAGACTCGCTAGGGAACATACCATTATGTAAGAGAAAACATTCAAGCTGGATAAAAACACTCAATTCCTTGGCAGCAAGGAACACTAACAGAGGAAAGTATCTTGATGATACAACTAAGTACCAAGAGAAGCACTGATATCAAAGAGAACTTACTCAAAAGCAAGTAGGTTACTTGAAAGCACCATAGTCAGATGGTTCACTAGTTTTATCAAGCCTTAAGTCTGATTATCATTTATCCATTTGCATAATGCACTAATTGGGGAGGCAAAAATGACTTTTGGTTATGCTATTATTAACACATATCAGTCATAAACCCAGTAAGAAAATTGATCATGTACATGCTGTCGTGTTGACAGAATTCACATGAAACACCAATATTGTTTGAAAGAAATAGTGGGCGGGGGAGAAATTAACATGAAAGAAGATCCATGATAAATCCAGAAAAGGCAAGAACTTTCGTACATAGTTTTGCCCTATTACATGGAGAAGGGATGAAAAATGGAACTATAAGTAACGCATAAGGAATACTCTACATCATACATGATGACCACAAGTACAGAAACTTACTTCAGAGTTCTAATAAACAAAGAGCATCATCATCTATGTCATACCCCTCAGCATGATGGACCTAGATTATAACAATAAGAGATTAGCCTAAGTAAATTCATAATTGACTTCTCCCATTCGACTATCCCTACATAGCAACCATGCACAGACTTCGAAATCATATTTGCAACTAAAATAAGAATATAATTTTCAATAACTTGAATCGCGAGATGAAGGAATAGACCCAAACTATAATTGTAACGGATTCTTCGCCTAAGTAAATTCAAAAACCGACTTCTCTCATTTGAGTCGTCCATACATAGCAATATGACAGACCTAGAAAACAAATTTGCAGCTATAATAAGAACATATTTTTCAATAACTTGAATAGCGAGATGAAGGAAAGAACAAAAGCTGGAGAAACCCACCAAGTATCAGCAGGGCATTGAACAGACAGGTGCGAAGCGAATCGTAAGAGCTGAAAAGATAAAGATGGGTCAAACGACACACATGATAATTGGTCCAACAACAGTGGAATCGCCAGAGGGACCTATTGCTAATTGAGAGTAGTCAGTTGTTCCGAAAACGGACCAAGAGCTCCTTGCTGCAATTCGAAAAAGACATATTTGATAACGTCGTATTTGCGCATGTTTGCACCCTCGTTTCTTCATCATTTTGGCTAGATTTTTTGATTTCTTGGAATATTTTATGCTAGGTTGTGTTCCTTTGTCACATTTCAGGTCCTAGCATGTAAATTGGAGCAAAGGCGCAAGTTTCAGGTCAATCGGAATTCATTTGGTAATTCGGGAGAAGAAACACGAGCATGACCTGAGAAATAATGGATTTCTACCTTATTTTATGGACAAATAATCATGGAAGTTGGTTATGAAAAGAAAGAGGACGAGACTACGAGCGTCTATGTTCGAACAACGACTGATTCGGAGTCCGGACGAGGGAGAGACGAAGCATTAAACAGGAGCGGGGGAAGAATTACGGGCAGCCCCTGCCCAATTACGGGCGTAATTGCTTCTGTCATGCCCGAAATACAATGCCGAGCCTAAATCCCTGAGAATTACTATCGCAGAGCAAATTACGGGCAAGAGTGGACTCATTTACAGTCGTAATTACTTAAATACTGGCAGTAATTGGGTAATTACGACCGTAATTACCTTCCTCAGAGTTTAGTGAAACGCGCGTTTTGGGTGAATTACGGGCAGACCATGATTACGACCGTAATTCAGCCTGTATTTCACCCAGAATCGGGTTTTTGAGGCAGATTCGAGCCAAAGGAGAGGGGGTTGACTTTTTGGAGCAAAAACAGAGTTTTAGAGAGAGAAAGTGCGAAGAACAAACCCTAGGAGCTATTTGGAGTGGATTTCTCACCATTGAAGCCCAGATTGCATCCCGAGGAGTGAAGATTGACATCCTAGAGCAGATTTTCCTCATCTTTATGAGTATGACTACTCTGATTTCTGTTTTCCTCTCTCTCTCTATGGAGTAGAACTTTCTCTCACTTGGGTATGAAGAACCCTAGTTCCATGTGTTAGGGATCTTGATTTGAATGACTTGGGATTGTTATATTGTTTGGTTTTAATCGAATGATGCATGCTTCATTGAATCAATTGAAGTCTGATCATCTTTTCTTGATTTCTGCTGCAACCTGAGATAGATAGAATCTGATTAGGTTGTTAGAGCTTCATCATTCGGTAGTGGTAGATTGTTTATACGAGAGTTAATCAATCTACTGCTTTGTACTGGAACCCAATTCCAGTAGTGGAGTTCTTAGCTTTTTGCCTCAGTTTTCCATCCTGGTGAAGACTAGTCGTCTGCCGGGTAGTTGGACTGAGAGGGCTTGGTCAGCTTAAGAGATTCCAAGCTACTATCGGATCTTCTGCAGTTTCATCAACAGTAAAACAACCCAGGGTAATTACAACTGAGACCTAACTAAGGAGCTAGGGGGAGTCATTCCCGAGTGACTCTTCCTTTGCTTTAGAAAACCGAACCATTTACTGCTTTCTTACTGCTTTTAGTTAAAACCACAATCAATCCACTTAGTTGGCTAGATAATAGATATTCACGGAGTAGGCAGTAGATCTAGACCTCGGGTTGATAATTAGAACTTGCCACTTTACTGCATTTCTGGACTGCGATTACACTTGGTCGTAGTTTGGTGTTGTGTTTTAGCGTGTCAATGTTCCTTAAATTTGTAAAAAGTAAATAGCTTCATTTGCAATTGATACAATCGTGAGATGATGACAAGAAGAGAAGCAAAGAGGAACCACCCCAAGTGCTGTTAACGAAGGGGCGAGGGCAATGAGCTTTAGGAACCCAACACAAAGGTAGCGATTATTAACTGAGGGCAAAGTGGTGGTCAAGAGAGTTTCGACTGGTTTCAATAGGCGGAGAACAGCTGTTACCCTCTCCGATCTTGTCTCCCTCCCAAAGTCACCGCCACCTTTTCTTTCTCCATTGCCAAGCCCAAACTCCTCTCCCTCTCACCAACTCACTACTTAAAAAAAAACCCTAACTTCCCACAACCATTGCCCCTGCAATCTCGAAAACATCATTGCCTGCCGGGTCTAATATCAAGATTTCGAGAAATTGCAGATGCCCAATATCAATGAATGCTTCTCTTAAATTCACCATATACTATAAATCAAATATATTGAGATCCTAGAGTTGTAAGAATGTAGTGGGCGGACCACAGTGCCAAGGTAGCAGCGTCGTTGGAATGGGTTGGCTTATCCGCAAGTTAAACCCTCAAATCCGTTTTAGAGAACGAACGGGAAGAGATTGAAAGTATACAACAGAAGACAGAGTTTATTTTGGTGCGGCAAGGGAATTAGGGTCGAGGGGAGATAGGGAATCAGAGTTTACGTTGCTGCGGGATGAAAAGAGATAGAGGGAGGGAGGCTGGTTGCCGGCGACGAAAGAGGGAAAAAGAGGGTGAAAATCCTACCTAAATGGGCAGCCACCTCAGCATCCGAAAAACACTCTAAGACCAGGAATTTTTGAATGGGGAGTGCAGTTATAAGTTTCAGCTATAAATGATATTGTATATATAATAATGAAAAATAAAGAATAAATAATCACACTATCAGGCAGCAATAGTTTCACCTAACAAGGATTATAATTTTCAATATAAAAAAACAAAAAAACATATCATTTACAAAAGGAAGCAATCGCTTCTCTTAAGAAAAGGCAATATAGTTAAAGCTGTCGTTGGTAAGAGAGAGAAGGTAAAGCTAGAGTGAGAAAATGGCTTTGTCCTCTCCTTTTTTCTGCCCATTTGGTACCGTTGTGGGATGGAGCCTCCTACCGGGGGGGGGGGGGGTCATCTCAGATCTGAAACCGCCGAACAAATTGCCAGCGACGACAACCACTCAACCGAATAAGGAGGCCAAGGCGACAACGAGCGATGGGTTCACAGGAGAAGAAAGCATGGATTTCGCAGTGGTTACGACAAGGAGTGAAGATACTGAAGTGGCTATGGGAGAATCTGATCTAGAGTTACTGATGACCAGTCCAAGGGAGGAGATTCCTTCGGTGCAGACTGCAAGAGTGTCCTACAAAGACTCTGTCCTTGGGAACGGACCTGCACCGGAGATCCCGATGGAGACGAGTTGATGTCGGATGAATCTGACGATGAAGATGTTGACTATGATCCCCTCTACACTACTATTCGGATTAAGAAAAGCATAGATGCTAGGGTTCGATATCGATGGAGCAAAACAATTATATTCAGAATCTTGGGGAAAAGCCTCCCTTTGGTTTTCATCCACAAGAGAGTGCACAAGATGTGGGCTAAAACCGGGTCGGTGGAGATCGATGATATCGGGAATGGATATTATTAGGTCATCTTTGGGTCTCAACTGGACTACAACCGTGCTTTCTATGGAGGACCATGTACGGTGGACCAGCAATACATAGTCCGAGCCGTGGAGATTGGATTTCGACCCGAATTTTGACGTTATCAACAACACTATGGTTTGGGTTCTTCTTTTGCGATTACCAATGGCATACTTTGACGGAGAAATTTTGACGAGCATTAGAAGTAGACTAGGGATAGTGGTCAAGATCGATTACAACACATTGAATGGCTTCAAGGGAAATTACGCACGTATTTGTGTGGAAATTGATCTCAGAAAGCAGCTGGTCCTGAAATACAGATTGACGCGGGAGTTAGGAGGGTTTCATATGAGGGATAGGATATGGTGTGCTATGATTGTGGCCATTATGGGCATCTGAAAGAAAATGCCCCCGAGCGGAGGAGATGGCAAATGCAACACTGAAGCAAGAATAAGAGAGGAGGAGCAACAAGTCCTCCAACAGGAGATTCGCCCTGAGGTTGTTGAAGATTCCGGGCCATGGATGCTTGCAACAAGCACTAGAAGGGAGAAAAAACAGACAGTGGGTGGCAGTGACAAAAACTGAACAAGCAATCCCAGAACTAAAATAGGAAGAGTTACAGGGAGGTTCGCGCTTCAGTGTGCTAGAAGAGAAAGAGGAAAAAAATGACAATGATGAAAATAGGGAAATGGACAGCGAAAAGAACAAGGAAATCGAGAAGGAGAAGAGCTCTCAAAAGGAGAAGAAAGACCAGACAGGGAAGACTACAGAAACTGTAAATAGTAATAAGCAGGAGAAGTAAGTGCACAAAAACAGGATAGGCAAAAGAAAGCACAGCAAGTGAAGGAAACATGAAAGAAGGAGAACCAGAAACCCTCTCCATTGATTTTTACCTCAGGAGCTAAATCCAGCAGCAAGACCACAGGGAACTCCAAGCTGAGTAGTGGGACTCCTGGGAAGGAAGGTCGGTTCTGCAGGAAGAGAATCCAATAGCTACAACAAAGCAACTGACAAACTCCCTTAAGAAGACTCCAGATGTTAGAAAGCATGGGAAGGAAGTATCTTTCAGAGGATGCCTCGTCTGGCCACCAACCAAAGATGAAGGAATCCTCTTTTTCAACAATGGGTGCCTCCCAGAAGGCCTCAAGTACAACCCTGGATAGTTGGAACCTTACTCGTAAGCTTGAGTTTGATGCTTGCTCAACTAAAGCTACGATGTTGCCTGAAAGTGCAAACCAAAATCAAAGGAACGATATTGCCAATGAAGAAGAAATGGTAGAGATGGCCATGGTCGTCGACTCTGCCTGTCTTTTTTCCCTTGGGGTATGTGTTGGGAAAACCTTTTTATCTTATCATGATTAAAGTCTTTTTCTGGAACTATCAAGGTGCAAAGCACCCGAAATCTCACTCCACTATGGAGTTATATTTGAGAATATACGCGCCAAATGTGGTCTGTATACTGGAACCAAGAATCAGTGGTGCTGATGCTATCAATGTGATCAAGTCACTTGGCTTTGATTCATGGGAAGTCGCAGATGCGGTTGGATTCAGTGGAGGCATTTGGGTGTTGCGGAAGAAAGACCAGCTGAACTTGGAACTCATTGAGTGTCATAAACAATTTATCAACCTAAAGTGCACTACGACTGAGAAAGGAGTGTGTCAACTGGCAGCAATCTATGCTAGCCCTCATGAGCACATGAGAGGTGAATTGTGGGACTCAATTGGACGAATTGGCAGAGGAATTGGTATCCCTTTGATGCTGATTGGAGACCTGAACTCCATATCTAAGTCCTCGGAGAAGCAAGGAGGAGAACCCTTCAATGGTGCTAAAGTCATAGCCCTGATCAACTGTATGGAGGAGAACGAGCTCTTTAACTTGGGTTTCACGGGACCAAAATTTTCTTTGTTCACAAAGAAGACAAGGATTAAGGAGCGCCTGGATAGATGCCTACGCAACGCTTAGTGGCTGGAAGCATACCCGAAGTCAACCAACCTCCACCTGGAAAAGCTTCGATCCGACCATTGACCAATCCTCCTGAGCAGCGAGGCACCTGTTGATAAGAGTAACCTCGTGAGAAGATTCCAGTTCTTAGCACCTTGGATTGCTCATGATAATTTTTCCCTTTCTTAAGCCAGTCCTGAAAGTCGGGTAATACATTTCCCTTTGCTTTATAGGATCTTTCGAGCAAGCTTAAGGAGTGGAATAAAGAAGTCTTCTGAAATATTTTTGAGAGAAAGAGGAGCTTGTGGAACCGGTTGCAAAACTTGGAGACTAAGAATGATAAGTCCCCCAATTTCCAGTCCAACTTGCAGGAGAGCCGTGTGAGGGAAGAATTGGAAGAGACCCTCTGGCAGGAGGAGATCCTATGGCTCCAAAAATTGAGGGCAAACTGGATTGTCCATGAAGATCAAAACACCAGATTCTTCCATCAGAGCACACTGAGTAGACGAAGAAGAAACATAATTGTTGGTATGAGAGATGGAGGGGAAACTGGATCACAGACCCTGAAGCATTGCAAGTGATCGCTAGGGAGTACTTTGTGGATCTCTACACTAAGGAGGATACAAGTCACCATCAAAAGATCCCTGCTGACTTCCCTAGCATTGAAGACCATGCTAAAACAAGACTCTGTACACCACCCAGTATGAAGGAGATTAAAGCAATCGTCATGGACATGAATGGCCTCAAAGCACCTGGAAAAGATGGTTATCAAGCCATCTTCTTCCAAAAATGTTGGGAGCAAATTGGGGGAGATTTCTCTAACTTTGTCATCTCTAGCTTCACTACTCCCTCTAATATTAGATTGTTGAATCAGACTTTACTTGCTTTGATCCCCAAGACCGAGGCACCACAATCCATGAATGAATTTATGCCTATTAGTCTATGCAATGTAGGTTATAAGGTTGTTGCCAAATGCATTGCTAACATGCTTAAAAACCTTATGTCGTCTTCGGTAGGGCTGGAAGTTTGGTATCAGTATTTTGGGATGTACCGAATACCGTACCGAATTTGTCTATATTTGGTATTACCGAATACATGTATTATTTCTTGGGATTGGGATTGAATTTCAATTGTAATTCGGTATTAGAGATTACGGGATTGGGATCGGTATATACTGAAATACCGATCAATACTGAAATATAAGATAGTGTGTATTTTATCCTCTCAACTAGACTCTCTCATTCACTACTACACAACCCTCAACCACCAAAAGTGTCATTTAATTATACATAGATCATTTCATCTTTGTTTCACAACTCAAAAGTCCACATCCAACTCAATTTTGACTTTCCAATTTAAGTCACTCTCATCTCTCACCTAATAACTTGTTATTTTCATAACACCAAAAAGCAAACACTAGTATTAGTCGACAATCAGCTTTCAATTCGTCAAATTAAAGATTACCAATGACAAGAACTTGAGATGCCACCTCTCCTTTATTCTCCTTATCCATATCCTAACTCTAGGAAAACTCAAGACTCTTTGATTAGTCTCTTTGCCTTAAATTAAACAATCAAATCTAGTTTATATATTTAATTATTTATTTCAAATATAATTAATTTCTTATTCGATAATACCGATTGGGATACCAAAGTACCGATTGGGATACCGGAATATTTAGGGATTGGGATACCGAAATTATTTAGGGATTGGGATTGGGATTGACTTTCTGGTATAATTCGGTATTCGGAATTTCGGTATTCGATATTGGGATACCGATACCGTACCGATTTTCACCCCTAGTCTTTGGTGCATCAGAATCAATCTAGTTTTGTCCTTAACTGACATATTACTGATAATGTTATTATCTTGCAAAAGACTGTCCACTCAATGGCAAAGAAGACTGGAAATAAAGGTTTGATGCTCCTAAAGGTGGACCTCGCGAAAGCTTATGACAGGATCAATTGCCTCTTCATGGAAAACACACTCAAGAGTGCAGGAATCCCAAATCATTGTCTGCGTATAACGAATACACTAGCGAACAGTGTTTTCCTTATTTTATCAAAACATGCATTATGATTTCCAATATTTAAGAATATTTTACTTATATTGTATATACATACTACATATGTTTTAAATTAACCATATGTTTTAATGTAATGCATATGAGTTAACAAGTTGGTGTTTTAAAATTAGGCTAATACCACTGGGAAATCTAAACCATTAAGAAAGTGTAATTTGTGTTGCGAACTATTCAATATTCTATCAATATCCTAACGTATGATAGTTTTGTATCATTTATGTCCTGACAATTTCATTAGCCGTTATAGATAACGGTTGACCAGACTGTGGTCAACTTGATGTTGACTTAGGAGTGGAATCGACAGAGCGATTAAGAAGATTTGGAGATTCTTGTAACATTTTATCTTTTTTCTATTTTAATCATTTTAGATGAAAATATAAATAAAAATTAATATTTAAAACAATAAAATTCCATATCAGATGCCACATCGACATTGACTAATTTTTTTTGTTAAATATTGACTGTCAAAATCGGTAACTCTAACAAAAAAAAATAGTTCAGAACATAAATGTCATATTGAATAGTTCGGAACACAAGTGACACTTTCTTGATAATTCGAATTTTCCAGTGGTATTAGCCCTTTAAAATTTGTCTTATATCCTTCATTTCTGTAAGGACAGCGCCACTTTAACTTTTTCCACTGCCCTTCTCATCTCAAGATTATTAAGACACAGTGAAGATTATTAAGACACCGAGGACGAAGCGCAGAAAGAAGGACCTTTAATCTATGTTATATCTGAGTTAACCAAAATGTGTTGATATGTTGAGTGAATATGGCTAAACTTCACCAGCAAAAAATAGACAATTTTAATGATAAAATTGTTAACGATATAAAATGACATAATACATATTTATTTTAAGACTAGTGAAAATAACACATGATATACATGTTTTATATAGTTTATATGTTTGCACACCTAATATAATTATTATATAAATTGTCAAGACACAATTTCATACAAGAGTTAGATGGGCTAACATGAGTATGGAATTTCGATAAAAAAAAATATAAGTATGGAATTTTGAATCAAATTGGTGTAGCCGCCGGAGTAGATGTAGCCGGAGTCGGTATATAAACTGGCAAGACACGGTTACATACAAGAGTTAGATGTAGCCGGAGTAGGTATACTGCCCGAAATTGGTGGCCGCGTGGAGCGCCGACGCGATCCAGATCACTGTCGTGCACGATTCGACGAGCTCGTCTCGATCGATTCTGCATCTTGGGCCACCATGGCTCGTCTCTCTTGTCACCATGGCCGACCTCCACAAGTTCCTTCCACCATGATTGGAGCTCGGCGTCGCTACGGATCTGCTCGTCGGTTTTGTAGTACAGTGATGTGTAATCGGCTACCCAGTTTTTTTATCGCTGACCAGATGTCGAGCCCGTCGACAGCGTATGGGTAGTCTTTGATCAGAAGTCGGAGGCCGTGCTTGGAATCTGGATAAGTAACCAAAAGTCCAATAATAATGAGCGACCCTTGGGTACAACAACCTTTGAAAAATGGGCAAAATTGCACTTCCACCAAATAAGGAGAACCAATCAAAGTGCAAGGTAGTAACAATGACATAGAGTGAAGCGGATAATATATTGTGTA